CTTTCACTAACCACAAAGCCCAATAGTTTTCTTGATTTGACACTAAATGTACATTTAGCAGGATTTAACTTCAGCTGAAATCTTTTCAACCTGTCAAATAGCTTTTTGAGATTGACTACATGATCTTCTCTTTCATAAGATTTTGTAATCATATCATCTACATATATTTCTATTTCTTTATATATCATGTCATGAAAGAGAGTCATTATGGCTTTTTGATAAGTAGCACTAGCATGACTTTGTAATAGAATGTCCCTCACATGATCATAAATATAATTTTTTTCATATCATCTCGAACCATCTTGATCTGATTATAGCCTGAGAAGCCATCCATAAAGGAAAATATGAAATGCCTAGCAGTATTATCCACTAGAGTATTGATGTGAGGTAGAAAAAAGTTATCATTAGGGCTTACCCTATTCAGATCTCGATAATCAACACACATTTTTATTTTTTATCTTTTTTAAAAAATGGCACTATGTTGGCTACCCATTCAAGATATTTTGTCACCTCTAAAAATCCAGCATCAAATTGCTTATTCACTTTCTCTTTAATTTTTAGCAGTATCTCTAGTTTCATGCACCTTAGCTTTTACTGCATTGGCTTGCATCTTGATTTTAAAAGTAACTTGTACTCTACAATATCAGTGCTGAGTCTTGGCATATCCTGGTAAGTCCACGTGAACACATCTACATATTCTCAGAGCAGCTTTTTTAGGTTCTATCTTTTAGCTGGTAAAAGAGATATACCAACTTTAACCTCTTTTTTGTTTTCACCATCTCTCAAATTCACTAATTCGATAATTTTTTAGTAGGGTTCAATTGGCTTATCTTCATGTTCTATTAATTTTAATAAATCAAGATGCAATGTGTAGTTATCTAAATCTTTCTCATTATCAAGTTCATCAACATGAATTAAGTTTTTGAAATCAAATTCGAGATTATTGCTATGATTATTTTCGTGTTCATTGTTTGAGATCCTACAAAGATTAAGATAAAGAGAATATTAGCACACAAAAATAGAATGGTAAGAAAATGATGAAAAGAGAAGAATGGAAAGCAAAATGAAGATAAAAACAATAGAAGAAATATAGATGCATCTTCTAAGTCTTTTTTTAAAATGACAAACATAAACACACCACAAAAGATCTTTTAATACTCGTAAAAAGCAATCAGGGATTTAAAGTTTCATAGCACATTACTTTTTTAAAGTTTTAAAAACAACAGGTAGCTCTATAACTTTTCAATTATCCAGCTCAAAATTTAGAGGATAAGGGTACACAAATAGCTCTTCACTTCAACTTTTCTTTTCTTTATCATCCACCATTTGAATGACCAGCTCTGAAAATTCTTCCATAAATCCTGCACTTAGAGCTTTCGATAAATCTGGATAAATATTTTTTTCGAGTGAAAAGAATCATAGAGGTATGGAATGATTATAGTATCTGACTCTGACTCATATCCCCTAAGATTAGCTATCTTCTTATCTCATTTCTCATTTACCATTCTTATTATGTCCCCTCTTGTTGGCTTATATCCCAAGCCAAATTTATCTTTTCATATATGACCGATAGCTTCGTGATTTCTTGCAGGTTCTTTCCCAAGTCAAGCTTTAGGTCACCATCTCATCTTAGTAAGCTATTTGACTACCATTTTGGTTGTCGTAGATAAGTATGATGAATATAATTTAGATTTTTTAGCTATATATATTGCATTGGCAATCTTAAAAGATCTATAAGAGCATTTCAAAGCTTCATATATTGATTTCACATAAGAAGTATTTATCGATTGAGTTATTAATAAATTTTTTTCTCCTTGCCACACATGTTAACTTCCCTTCAATAGCACCTGTCATATGAATCCATGACCTACCCAATAAATAACTATATGAAAGAGAGAAGTCCATAACTTAAAATTTTACGTTGAAAGTGCATGGGCCAATCTATAATGACATTTTTATGTCTTCTAGCACCTCTCTTCGGGTTCTATCAAAGGCTCTCACTATTATATGATTAGGTTTCATATAAGATCCATCAACAAAGAGTTTTACCAGAATAGTCATAAGCATAACATTGATAGATAAGCCATTATCAATCAAAACTTTAGTCATTATATGACCTTTATATTTCATAGTAATGTAAAGAGCTTTAGTACTTCTTCAACCTTCAAGAAGAATCTCTTTATCACTAAAAGAGATATAATTTGAAATTGTCAGATTGCTAACAAGCTATTCCATATATTCAACAAAAGTATTGTGAGATACATATGCTTGATTTAGTACCTTCAACAAAGTATTACGGTGTGACTCTGAACTGAGCAATAATGATAATAGCAAAATTCTAACTGATATTTTGTTAAGCTGTTCTACCACATTATACTCGTTATATTTTATTAACTTTAGAAATTTACATGCTTCATTTTTAGAGACTGACTTCTGACATTCTTTTTTTGAAGCTGTATCAAGACCACTTTGACTTTTTTTTTCTTTTTCTACCTTGGCTTTCTCTTTTTTAGCTTTTTCTAGAGCCTCTGGAGTATAACACCTCTCACTTTGAGTCATACTTCCTATGCCCGTTATGTTCGCAGTATCTGGGTTGACTATAACATCATAATCATACTTTTATGGTACTGTTTTATCATTTTGATACGAAAAAGAGCTAAAAACTTTAATTATCACTATTGATCGGGATGTGAGTTTTTTTGCCTCAGTGTTGACTTCTTATCATAATAAATTATTACTGGTCTATGCATAAATTTATTCTTTGAATCAATAATAGACACTTTAACTTTTATCAACTCTTTTTTTTCTTCGTAAAACTTTATTCGACCCATATCCATCAACTTTTACACCTCTTGATGAAATTGATGACAATTCTTGATAGAATGCCCTAAAGCACCTTTGTGAAAGTCACATCTTTCAATTGAGTTAATTGTTTCGGAGTGATTTTAAAGCTCTACTAGTTTTAACATGTCAGCTTTGACCAAGGCTTCCAATACTTTAGCCATCGAAGTTTTAACTTCTTCTACCCTTTTTTTCATATAGCTTGCTTGCCCATCAATCAAAACATTTATTGATGGTTTAGTATGATTCGGTAGAAGGTTTTCATTAACATTTGGAGTTCTTCATTGGCTGGTATCAAAGTGTAACACCCCTTCATTGATTAACATTTACACTTTATGCTTCAAAGTAGTACAATTCTTAATAGAATGACCTAAATTCTTATAGTGATAATCACAATATGCATTGAGATCATATCATTTAGGAAATAAAGGTTTTAAAGGCTCAATAATAACAGGGGCTAATAAATATTTCTCGATAAGTTGATGGTACAAATCTATATATGTCATGGGTATGGGATCGAACGCGATTTTTTCTTGGATAGTTTCCCGGGGCTTTTAAAATATTATTAGGATTAAGTCTCCATTCTGGTCTGGTAGGTGCAGCAGGATGATTGTAGGTGGGTGTCTGAAAAGATGACTGAAAACTAGATGGATAAACTGGTTGTGGTAATGGCTGGTATGATTGGTATGAATAAGTAGTGGATGTAATATTATTTATGGAAGGGTATTGGGTTTGGTAGACTGGTGTAGGATAAGGTATGAAACCTTTGAATTGTTACCTCACATAGTTCATTGCTTGAGCTTCATTCTCTTTCTTTTTAGAAGCTTCACCTTTTCTTCCTCCACTTGTCTCTCTTGCATCGAGCTTATAATTCTTTATGGCTTTTCTAATGATTTCACCTGATATCATCATATCTATAAAGTTTTTGGTTGTATTGGCTATCAATCTCTCATAATATGGTACTTTCAAGATGTTCACAAATAAAACAGTTGTTTCTTTCTCAGTGAGGGGAGGTTAAACTTGAATAGCCATGTTTCTCTATCTTTGCACATATTCTTTGAAGCTTTCAGTTACTTTCTTTTCCATACCTTGCAAAGATAGATGATTTGAGCTAAATCTCTGACATGCTGATATTGTGTAAGAAATGATCTTGTGAGCTCTTGTCATGAATGAATACGAGTTTTATCTAGTTAAACATATCATCTGGTTACAGATCTCATAAGGTTATCTTGAAATACGTGAATCAATAATTTCTCATCATGAGCATGTGCTGTCATTTTACGATAATACATGGTGATGTAAGTCATTAGACATTTCGTGTCATCATATTTTTCAAATTCAGAGACCTTAAATTTTAATGAAATGACTACATCTGGGATAAAACAAAGGTCAATTGCATCTGTGGGGTCATAAAAATCTATTCCCTCTATACCCTAAGCTTTTCTTTCAATAACTTCATCTTCTTATGTGCACTGGTATCTTTCACTTTCTCAAGTGTCTTTATCCCTAGCTTTTCTCTTTCTTTGGGATCATCTAAATCAGGAACTAAGATCAGCTCAAGTGGTTTTTCCATCATGACAAGATTAACAAAATTTTGAAATTTCTTGGAATAGGTGTGGATGTCATTCCTGGATAAAGATTGAGATATCCACCGGGAGTAAAAATTGGCACTCTAGTTTCTTGAAAAGGTTGGGTCGATCGTGGCTCAAACCCTAGAGGATAAATAGGATCTACCATATCTGATAATTGCTCTTGAAAGCTAAGATTTTTTTTCACTGTTTTTTCCTTGTCAAGTTTTCTAAGCATATCCATTATTGTACTAAGATCCCCTTGTAGTTCTTCTTAAACTTATTCTATTCTCTTAAATCGATTGACCTATTTTTGCTCCATGATTTTTGTCTAAGTCCTGGTATTATATGAATGACGAGTAGGTTAGGTCAAAATTTTTTATGGACGAGCTATTCTTAAACCTTTATCACCATAGTTTTTTTTTTATTTTGAAAAAAAGAAGGAAAAAAATTAGAATGCTGTGTTAAAAATTTTATTTTTCACTTATTTTATGAAAAATGATGTACATGATGCATGAATGCAAGTGGAAGATATTTGCTTTTGGATAAATTTCAACATTAAAAATTTTTATTGATTTCATACAACTTTTATTACATGAAATTTACCATCCTAGAGTTATATCCATAGAAGCGTTTGACTTGTTCATAATGGTCCTTTGCCTCATCTAAAAAGTTCACTAGGCGTTATCCATATTCTCTTATGGGATTGACTTCTTTTCTTAACGCTTCTACCTTTTCAACCATCTTCCATGTTTTTTTCACTGCCTTGCAAACTTGATTAGTCAAGTGCTCTATGTACTATTGCCTTCCTAAGCTTTCTACCTTTCATCTCATGTGAACATCCCTTTCTGAATCATATGTGAAGATCTAATCTTTTTTCCTTCTATGCCACTCATCTATTATTACTGAAATATGACTCTTGTGGTCTTGTAGTTGTATCTCTAACCCTTGGATCACTTGGTGAAGTGATTCTTTTTCATTCAGTACTTCAAAGTACTTTATTCTCTCTTTTGCTAACATGACTTTCAACCTTTCCTTTTCGTTTTGGCATTCCACCAATCTTGCTGAGGTTGTAGAGTATAATCCCTTCCAATTCTGACATTCTTGAGAAATTCTAATGGTCTCCTCTTGTTTTTCTTGAGCTTTATCCTTCCATTGGTTCATTTCCTCTCGAAGCTCATCCATTTCACGTTACCAACTAAGGTAAAACTTAGTGACTTTTTTAGTTTTGAATTGGACTCGTAACCTCTTGTTTTCTTGGTGCAGATCTTGCAAATCACTATTGGCTAGATCTTATTTTTTTATGACTTTTTCTAAGCTATTCTTTTGTATCTCTATTTCATATTTCAATTGTCTTACTTTTAACGAAGTCTCAAATTTTCTTTTCTTATTTCTTCTTTTTCAGCTTCTAATTCTTTCTTGACAAGCTCAACTTCTAATAATTACACCTTTTTCACAAGATTAACCAATTGATATGAGCTGTCATTAGGAGGGAGTACTATGTCTCTAGGTTGCCTTGCTTTTCAAATCTAGTAATCAAAAGTGACTTCATTAATGAGAGGCCCTAACCTCATTCTTCATGTTCTCTTCCATACTTTGATCAACTGCTTCGAGGTTCTTGATGGATTCGATTCCCCATAAATGAATTCTACTTGGACTAAGCCACGAGTAGCATGAATAAACTGCTTTGCACCAAATTACCTAAGCACCATTAATGGAGCATAACTTATAACGCCCCATAGCCCTAATAACGGTATCCATAACTCGTTTCTTCCATGATACAACAAGGGCACCCTAGGCATCCAAGGTGCCATCCATTCAATTTTATCCCTGGTAAGCCTTCGTAAGAAAATGATCCACTATTTCTTAGTCTTCAATGTTGGCCATTGACTTTTGTAAAACTCTTCAATTGGTGCTTTATTTTGTAGATACGGCTTCAAAAATGCACTCTTCCCAAACTTGAAATGACTTCTAACCTATACATATAATAGAAATGCACATCCTATGAATTGTCATTTTCCATTTCGTCAACAGAAATTTAATGACCTGATGGTTTCAGCTAGGACTACTAGATCGAGATTAATTGCTTGGGTTTTAATTTGCTCAAAAAAATCTACCATAGTTATCTCAATGTAACCTAAAGTTTTCATAAAGATTACCATGCCATACAATGCTAGAGCAAACACAGCCATAACTTAATCATCATTTAAATGCCCCTGAATGAAGTTTCAAAGAAAATCCCAATGGAGGCTGAGATGTTCACCTTTAGGCTTCACAAAAGAATCAATGGTTTCTACTTTAACCCTCATAAGCTTGGCTAACTTTTTGCAATAACCTAATTTTGGCTTTCGGGTAAATACTTTATCTAGACATTGTAGTTTTATTCCAAGTAAAATCGAATACTTTTTAATAGTTGGCACCAAATCTTTTTGATTAAAAATGAAGCATCTATATGATGGATCCCAAAACTGTATAGCTACCTTGACCAGCTATTTATCGATCACTACTGAAATGAGAGATGCAATCTGTTCATACTTTTTACAAAAGCTTTCTTTTTTTCTTCACTTAACTGACCTCAGACAGTAGCTAACTCTTTTAAATCATTTTGTGTGATATCTAAATACATTTTCTCGGATAATTCAAACACATAACCGGTAGGCAAACAATCTTCATTCTTTTGTTGAGCTTCTTTCGACCAAACATATACTTCATTATGTGGCTCACATGACATACTGACTGAGAATGAGTAAATTTGTAGTTCTACGAGATCCATGAAAACTTCTTGAAAAAAATATATCCTAGAGCAAATATCTCAATGCAGAACTGTATAATATGATTAATGTAAAAAGAAAAAAAATGAAACAAAATTGAGTTAGTGTAAGGATACGGTTTGAAAAAAATGTTTTTTTTTTAGATTTGAGATTTTCTGTTTTGTTTTGTTTTGTATTACGCACAACTTTTATTCTTAGATATTTCTTACAAAAAGGTAGACGAGGCTCTACCTAAGGCTGATTTTTTAGGCTTATTACATGCTGAGTTTAGATTGACACAGTCTAAAGGTTTTCAAATTGCTCATCACTATAGTCAATGTTAGACTAGCAAGGCACCCCGATCTTCACCCATTATAGGCTACGAACGAAAATAGTTCAATTTGAGTGAAAGTATTTCGCTTGCCATTGCGGAGGTTATCACCTCACGAAGGCATAGGTACTCTACTTCCTCCTAAAAAAGACAAGGCCCGGGTATAGAGCTCATACATGAGATGCATCGTGCCATTGTGTGCAAATATATCCTAATTTATTAAGAGTAATATATACAAAAAAATAAAACATAAGAGGCATAGTAAAAGAAATGTGTGTAGATTTTTTTGCTTTTTATTTTCGATTTGTTTTGTTTTTTTCTTTTTACCTTTTTTTATTGAAAATGAAAAATAAAAATCTAAGAAATTGATTAAGACTATTTAAATCAAAATTTGAGGATAACAAGTAGTTAATTTTGGCCTGACTCTAAAAAATAAAAGGCAGTCTCCAGCGGAGTCGTCAAGCTGTTGTAACAATTTTGGAACCGCCAGACGAATTTGAAAACAAAAATAAAAAAATAAAAAACGGAATCGCCTCCAATCTTTTTTGGCTAAGTGTGATTGACCACCTATCAAAGCATATCCTTTTAATGAAATCTTAAAATTAATTAAAATTTATTAAAAGAATAATTTTTGGGTCAGCGTCACAGTCTGGGTTTGGGAGTCAGTTACGTGTAGGGAAGGATTAGCACCCTCACAGCGCCCGTTTAAAACGATACCAATTAACTACATGTTATCCTTTAATTTTGATGAAAAACAATCTCATTTTCGGTGTTTTAATAAAATAATTTTCTTAATTATTCATTTATTGAAATTTGGTTTTTAATTAATTTAAAAAAAATTATTTGAGAAAAATAAATTTGAACCTTTTTATTGAAATAATTCTTAAAATCTTATAATATGTTGATAACATTAGAAGAACTTTTTCTCACCTAGAGATTTTTTATGTATCGCTTCTTGGAATACCTTAGAATCTCATCTTTGGAGGTTCAAATTTATTTTTCGTAAAAATTATGTTATGTATGCAATTCAGAATATTATCATGTTGATGCACACATTTTATTTTCTTTTTAACAAAATTTAATTAATTAATTATTATTCTTATTTAAAAGAAATGAATAACAGAGAAATTTTTATTGTATTAAAGATTTTCTATAAATATTCAAATACATTGATAATATTTAAGAAAAAATCTTTTCACCTAAAAATTTCTTAAAGCATCTCTACTCGAAATACTTTTGGAATCCCATCATCGGACAAAATTTTCTTTTTTCTTATTTTTTATTACCTATTTTTAATTTATTAGTTAATTTTATTATTATTATTTTATAAGAAAAAAAATTATTGTATTAAAATTTTTTTTTATAAATACTCCAATACACTGATAGTATTTTAAAAAATCTTCTCACCTAGAGATTTCGTAGGTATCACTACTCATAGTATTTTGAATCTCATCGTTGGACAAAAAAAATTTTTTTCTTATTTTTTCTTATTTTATAAGATTTATTCTAAAATTAATATAATTATCAAAAACTTTTATTATATATATTTTATTAATAATTATTATAAAATAACAAAATTTTATTCTGTTAAATTTAAACATTTTAACATGTATAAATATTAAGAATAATAATTAAAAAAACAAAAATAATATTAAAAAAAATTCTAAAAAAAATTTTGTTTTTTACCTGAGTTGGACCGGTTAACGGTCCGGTCAACGTGCGGTTCGATCGTGTTCAGCGGTTCGATTGCAGTTCGAATTAGGTTCAGCGATTCGATTTCGATTCAGTAGACCAATCAGAAGCTGATGGAGAAGCGGGTCATAGGTCCGGTCACTGGTTGACGTACGGATCCTAGATGCTTAAAATGACGTCGTTTTGGGCCTTTATTGAAACGACGTCATTTTGGTTTTCGTAGTTTATATAAAAGTTGCTAAAATTTTTTTCCTGTCATTCTCCCCCTTTCCCAACAAAAAAAAAAAACACACTCTCCTCTCTAGGTCGATCAAAGGACAGCCATCGTGATCCTGCTGGAGACGATCTCCGACCATTGTCGTCGGGGTAAAAAAATTTCAAAAAAACACCCACAAACTCCTCTTGATCCCCTGAACACAGATCCGACCTTCTTTTCACAAAAAAAAAATCCTCAATTCCCTAGATCTGCTCTTAAAGTTTCGGTGAAACTATTTTTTTTTGTATTCTAACTTTTTTTTTTGAAACTGACTTTGTTTTTTTTCTTTGTGCAGGGGCTCTCGACGTTGGGTTCCTCCCTGCGGGGAGAACTGAGCTTTTTTTATTTGCATTTTTTTTAACAGAATGTGTTTTTTTTCGCAGGGCTCCTTTCTTCGTTCCTTTCGTTGGGTTCGGCTAAGAGCTTAATTTATAGAGCTCCGACCGTACGTGGCACAGGACTCGAGGTGCAAGCACGAGCCCCATACCCTTTTTATTGTTTTTATCTGATCTGACAGTAATATGGCTAGGAGCCAACGGGATAGGTGATCAGAGTATGGTTGGTAGGATAAGGTATGGTGGGTAAGGCGTGGTGGTGGTGGTGCCTTCCCTTCCCTTTTTTTTTTTTTGGTTCGATTTTTTATATATATTTATATATATTTATTTAATTTTTATTATTTAATTTATTATTTTTATGTGATTGGATAAATTTGATGTCCACAATAATAATTAATTTGTTATATTAAAAAAATATTTTAAATATTTTATTAAAAATAAAAATTTTACATTGATATTTGTCACGCCGATAAGAAAGATTTAAATTAGCATGTTAAGTTATCAACAAAAAGTCACACATTGCAAAAATTTAACAAAATTATCAATTAGCTTTAAATTTTTAAATGTGTTCATCAATGGTGTGTAAATTTTATGGGACATTGATGGTATATAATATTGATAATGTATAATAGGTGTGTATTGATAATATATTAAATATAAATTTTTATTTTATTTAATAATTAAATTTATATTTGATATATTATCAATGTAAATATTATATATCATTAATGAATCATATAATGATATTTTATAAAAAATTAATTTAATAATTTTAAAATTTTAAAAATATATTTAAAATTAGTTTTTTATTAAATATTATTGATAATGTATAACACATCTATACTCCCTTGTGAGTAAATCAAACTCTAATACTTAAAAGTGACTTCCAGTGACCGGCTCAGACAACTTTGGAGAAATGGAATCCTTAACATAATTCTTACCAGCTGCATCAGTGTTGGTGTGATCAATTGTCGTGCTTCTCCTTTTCATCACCTCATCAATTAAGGCTTGTATGTTCCTATCAGAGGAACCGCCATCCGCCACCGCTGCCTCCGCTGCTACCTTCCACTTCAAGGCGTTCTTCTTTATCTCCGCTGCCTTTGGCCCCACCGTTGCTTCCAGCAAACATTTCTCCACCTCCTCCCTTGGGATTATCCTGTTTTCTGCCTCTCCACGGCACATTCTCACACCAGTCTTGAACACCTCAACCAAGTAAACAGCATCAGTCACCTGATCACCCCACCGAGGGAACGCAATAATGGGCATACCAGATGAGAGTGCCTCCATCGTTGAGTTCCAACCGCAATGTGAAACGAAGCAGGAAACTGAAGTGTGCGTTAGCACTTTTTCTTGTGGACTCCATTGGATAATCATGCCCTTATCACCTACTTTCTCTAAGAAGCCTTCAGGCAAAGTATGGATTGGAAGGCCAGATTCTTTAGGCGGCGGTTTCATGACCCACAAGAATGAGATACCAGTGTTTAACAGCGCGTTAGCTATTTCATCCACTTGTTCCTGTTTCAAGTAAACAATAGAACCAAATGAGATGTATATTACTGACGAGGCTGGTTTCGAGTTGAGCCACTCGATGCAGTCATCGGCTTTGATGATGTCACAGCGAACTGTGCTGTTTGTTGCTTTAGGGTTCTTGAACAATGGACCAACAGTCTTTATAGGGCAAAACTTGGACATGTATTCAACGATTTCAGGCTCTAGTTCCAGGAAACTGTCCATCAATATGCAAAAGGGCTTTTCAAGGTTCTTAAACTGACCAAGAATGGCGCTCTTCAAGATAGAGTATGGAGTTGAAGGATGCAAGAAGCTAGGAACTTCATCGTACTTAAGAAGTGGCATGGAGGGCAACTGAACGTCAATTTCAGGATCACTTTCAATAGGAAACGGCACTAACCCATGATGGTAATGGTAATATGCGGCAAAACAGGCACAAGATTGCACCCAAAGCATTGCAGAAGGGATGCCAAGACTTTCAGCAACATCAGATGCCCAGGGAATAAAGGGGTTGCTGATGAAGCAAGAAACAGGGCGGTTTTGCTCTGCGTATTTGCTGATAATGCGAGGAATCTCTTCTTTTGCTACAAGCTCCAGTTGAGGCAAATACTGTTCGAGGTGTGCGCGTCTTGGATCATCGTCGTCCCATCCATCCTGAAAGAATTCAAACCGGATAAAGCCATCACCGACTGGGGTTGGCTCGTCCGTGATGTTGTTGGCTTTTATCATCTGTTTCCCAAAACTTTCGGTTGTAGATAATGTGACAAGCAAACCCTTAGAGGCAAGTAGCTTGCCAAGTCTAAGAAGAGGATTCACATGGCCTTGGCCTGGAAAAGAAACAAGAAACACATGAACAAGAGGCTCAGATCTCATTGTGTCTCTTCTCTCTAGTGGGTTTTGCTGATCTAGAGGAAAGGAGAAGGTGGAGGAGCAAGATTCAAATTAATAAAACAGGGTGATGTAAGTTGAGTACAGAGGAGAAATATGGCATTATGTATCATGATATATACTACCACAGAAATATTTGATTGTTGGTTTACCTCAAGCACTTGCATAATCAAAGTTGATAATTTGGTTTAGAGTCGTCATGAGATCAAATAATACTGAGATAGGGGAATTGAGCTTGAATACAAAAAATCATTTACAGACAAGAATGTTGGGTCATTGTTGATGTAAAATCCATCAGACTGGCGTGCAATTACAGTCTTTTAGTTTAAATTAAATTGGGTACGAGAAAGAGGCCGAGAGAATTGAGTTCGAGAAATGCTTGGGGCCACTGGCGTTAACAATTAACAATTAATGACTTACTAGAATCTGTTTTGGTTTTTCTTACAAATTACATGGAATGCCAATTGAATTTCACCAGCTAGCCGTTACAAGTATATACTAGTTTTAAACCCGTGCTGTGCACGGGGCAAGCTCTTTCATTATATTTTTTGTTATATATATTATTATTTATAAAAAATTAACATATTTTATTTTAAAACATTATATTTTTATAGAAAGAATCTATATTTTCATGATATTTTTGTTGTTAGAAATCTAATTTAAAAAATATAAGTAGTAAATATATACGTAATGCTATTCTAAAAACTTAAGTCTATGATATATAGATTAGGATTATTAATTTGGCTCATGAATTAATTGGTTATTACTCATCAAACAAATTAAGATTATTAACCATCAAGCAAATTATGAGAAAATATTTGTTTCGCCTTACAACATATTTTCTCAAACTTGTATTTCAAATCATTCATTTGTGTAAAATTTTCTTTAACCATTTAACTAAAAACCTTTTTCTTGAAAATACATTAGTAATTCTTATGTTGTAAAGATAATTTAATCAATAGCAATTTGCCTTCCCATAAAAAGTCACAAACTTGAATTCAAACTAACCATTATAAAATTATCATCGAAATGGATCCTGACATAAGTGAAAGTGATCAACATATTATATTAAAAAAAATTATATATATTTAACTAGTTCATGCAACACAGATTAATATCATTTTATTATAAGTAAAATGCATGCAATTTTATTATACATAAAAAAAAAGTTATAAATATAGCAACTTTGCAGTCTATACACCTAAATTTTTTAAATAACTCTAAATAAATTTTAAATTTCAAAATTCAAGATAATAATTAATAGCTGAACAAAAAATAAAGATGGTAATTAGAAAAAAAAAGCTTCATTTTGGAACAATTAATTTTCGAAAGAGATTGGGTAATGTCCAATTCAACAAGCAACTGCAAAAAAATAAAACCATACAATCCAAATATCATATTTATGAAATATAATATTATAACGCATAACATATATAAATTATAATGCAAAATGCATATTAAATATATCTTAAACAAATGTTTTTAATAAATTATTATAGACTATGATGAACTGCATTAAACATCTTAAACAAAATAATATAAAATAATATTAAAACAAATATAAAGTGATAAAAACTTTAATAGTAACTAACTTTAATTATTTATAACTAATTATCTATATTAACTCATAAAGAAATCTAAGTCTACTTTTACTCTATGGCCAAAAGAGTATCATGAATTGATTTTTTTTTTTTTTTGTAACAATGCAATCTACTTCTTAAACATCCCAGAAAACTCTCACTTATATATGATAGGTCTTCGAACTAATTATGGAATACTTTAAAACTTTTAAATGATTAATTGATTAAAATAAAATTAAGAATAAAATTAAAAGTAATAATATTTTAAATTAAGAGTAATTTATGCTTGACAATTAAAATAGTGAAACATAATGTGTATTTAATGTATTTGGAATAAATGAAAAGAGAAAGGTTTTGAAATTATTGTAATAATAACAAATGGAAATAATTTAAGATAAAACTATTAAGCATATTATTTACATGTATAATATGAATTTAATTGAGAGTAATTTAAATTAAATAATAATAAAAATAAATATAATTAATTTAATTTTTTAAAAATAATGCAAATAAAATAAAATAAAAAACACAGCGATTTTCAAAATTATTTATATATCAATAATATAGGTCATCCGAGTTTTTTTTATCAAAACTTTAACTTAAATATATAAAATTGGCTAATGACGAACGCAGTGACTTGAGAATTCCCAGTTCTCAACCTCAAAGAAAGGGACTGAGAATGAAACAGATCATTAAAAGCCAAATTCAACAGCCATTCCTCTACATATATATAGTCCCCAACCTCGAAGAAAGGGACAGAGAATGAGACAGATCGTGAAATGCCAAATGCAAGAACCATTCCTGTATATATATATATATATGACGAACGCAACGAGTTGACAATTCCCAGTTTCCAACGTCGAAGAAAGGGACTGAGAATGAAACAGATCATTAAAAGCCGTATGCAAGAACCGTTCCTGTACGAGTGTGTGTATATATATATATATATATATACACACATTGAATTTTATCAATCTCCGCAAATTATTATAAATTTTTTGCTTGTTTTAAAAAAAATTAAATATAAAAGTAATTCATTTATTATATATATATTTAATTTAACTTTAGAGTAATAAAATTATTAATTTGATATTCAAATTATCATTTTATTATTTATTTTAATATATTAAATTAACGTTATTAATTAATTTATTAATATAATATAAATATTTAATAAAATATTAATACATATAAAAAATTTCAATTGATAATGCAATAATAATAGAAAAAATTAAAAAATTTGAAATGTTTTTAAAAATTATAAAAAATAAGAAATATTTTTAAAAATTACAAAAATTAAAAAATTTATCAAAACTTAAAATTTTTAAAAAACCTCAAATTTTTAATAAAAATTTAAAAAATTCAAAAATCAAAACAATAAAATTTTTTTTTAAATTAAAGTAAATCATGACAACTTTAAAAAATTTATAATATAAAATATAAATTCTTTTATAATTAAAAAATCTAAATTATTTTTAAAAATCTGAAAATTTATTAAAAATCTTAAAATACAACCATTCGTTCGTACGACAAGATAGATAATACGACACCAACATTTCTTGATTCGTAGTAAACGAGCACATGCTTCAGGCCTGTGACAACCAAAAAATGAAATTGAAATTTCCAACTTCATTTATGATTTATTAACAAACAGTATGTCTTGTCTTTTCAGTCTTTGTCTTTTCAACCAATGAATTTAAAGACACCAAATTCAACTGTCACTCCCACCGTCTGATCAATGTGGTTGGGCCCTGCTGCAGAAATTCGTCACGAAAACTACGGTTTTCAACCTTACGTTCTTCTTAGATATTTCAATTATATCATTATTTTACTCATAAAATTTTCCCTCGCCTTTTATAAATAAATCAATTCAGATATTATCATTCAATTTCATTTAATTTTTATTTTTTTTTCGATTTCTTTAATCTCGACTTTTGATTTGAACGGAAGAATATAAATATAAAAAATACTTTTTATCTTTAACCTTAATATTTTTTTTTGACTTTCGCTTCGGAACCAGCACCAACATGTGTCATTATGAGGAAAGCATGAGCATGGCTGCAGATTACAGGACTCATTCCTAACCAGGAGTTCAGGAGCTGAAAAATAATGATCTCACCAAATGCAACAATATTAATGTTGTCAAAAAAATACATAAACAAAACCCTCTGGAGAATGCTTAAACTTAGATTTTTTTTTTTTTCTATGGCTACGGCGATGTGGCTGAAAATTAAAGAAAGATTCAAGATGCTGACACTAGATTTTGCTCGAAGTCATGCCAAGGCAAATAATGCGCAAACAGTTAAAACTTTTAGGACCCATTAATTGCAAATGAGGTTATTAAGCCATCAATTTCGTTTGTCTTTTTTGTTTTATTTGAATTTTTCTGAGAATCGAAAGGGAAATCAAAATAGAACAGTCCTGACTCCTTTGCTAATCAAACGATTTTTTGTGTGATAGTCGTGATTTTGGGTATTTGTTCCTATCTGCGTTTATAGTGGCCTTCTGGCGTTTGCTTGCTTATCTTGATTTGGTGTATTCTCTTTCCGTCCTCATTTGTAAACTGGACTTTGCTACCAATGAGAGATGCTTTCTTATACGTTTTTTTTTTGCACCACACACTGCTTGCTATTTAGGTTAACTGACAAGTCAAGTAACAGAGAAGAACAAGGCTAATCATAGTTATTCTTACCAGTTTTGTTTATCTTTAGGCCTCGTCTAAAATTATGTTTTGGGTTTTTAAATGCAACTTTTAAACGTGAAAATAATGTTAAATATGTTATTATTTGTGTTAAAAGTATTTTTGGATTATTAAAATTGAGCTAATCGCAAAACTTAATTGAAGAATGCAATTATGGTTTAAAATTTATGGTTTGAAAATAAAATTATTAAATATTCATTCAATTATTTATTTTTTATAAAAAATAAATTATTTGTTTTTTTCAACCTTACGTTCTTTTTAGATATTTTAATTTTTTACGGTAATACTAAGCATTCAAAATTCTTAATCCATAATTTTTTTCAACCATTTTTAACAACATTTTTCAATTGCTTTTTTTTCAAATCTAATTTTTCTAAATTGTAAGAATAATTTTAGACTAGACCTTAATATGTGTTCAAAACCCAATTTGCTTCAATCCATTAATAGACATGAATCTAATTTGAGTTCTTAGTTCAATTGTCAAAGATTGATCACCTAAACATACTTAAAAATGATAAAAAATTTATATTGAATGATGAGCTTAATCGTACGGGAAAAATTAGATTAACCCAAACCTAACCTTAAAGAATGACAAGCAGTCAAGCACGCGGCGATGCAGGTAGCATTTTTGGATGTTGACATGTTGTTCAGCCAGGTTAAGAGAATTTCGACAATAGATTTTATTAAATTGCATGACAATATTACAGCCCAAAGCTTTTAATTGGATATTAGGATTTAGGGCGGGAAAGGTAAGCCAAGATAAAGAAGCTGTTGAAGTTACGAGACTATAGCAAGTCCATTTCAATCACCCATTGGCTTGCGATGTTTCCCCAAACTGAAATCTTGGCCCAAGTCAGCTTAACGGGCTTAAATTATAACCAGGGTCCATTGTGGTAGCTGCTGCTGGGGACCTGGGATATGGATTCCTGGGTCTTTGCCCTCGGACCCTCCCAGGAGGATGTGTATTTTGTAAGCTCGGCAGTTAACCTAGGCAGCTGGCACCAAATATTTTGTAGCACCATGATTTACTCAACCGCATGCTGGAAGTTACGGCAAAACAGGAGGCATATTTGGTGATGGGGAAAAGAGTCAAAAGGTAAACTTGTTCAATTATATATATTATTAAGACATAGCCACATGGGCATGTAATAATCACCATTGAAGACCAGTTTGTGCCAACAACTTTCGTATTTGCCCAAAGAAACATGCAAAATAACTATCATCAAATATCTAATACCAACACTTTCATCAAATATTTGCACGTAGTTATGACTAAACAATCTAAGAAGTTCAGAATGAGAAAAGAAATGAATCAATGTTGAAGTCACTTGTTATTGCGCCATTGATTTACTTATGTCCCTCTCCAGGGCTAGGACCAGATTTCTCATCTTCCGTAATTTGAAGATTATTGTATCTGTGTCCATCACCCGGACTTGGCCCTGAAACCTTCACAGCATGAAGAACCAACCCTTTAATCATTGCCTTGTGAATCTTTTTACCAGCATTGCTGTACCGCAACTTTGAATCCCTCAATGCCCTTGCCTCTGTTGCAGATAACATAGAACTCAACAAGAGAGAAAGAAGAAGAAAAACGAAAATGAAGAATCTTTTGCCCATGTTTAACCTGATCACAGTTACAAAGCTCTGAAATAGTATTTTATTTAGTTCCAAGTAAGAATGGTTGCATACGAAAGAGTAGGACTATGAGATTCTATTTATAGTGTTTGAGATGAAGTTGTCATTTACTATTGGTGGTGGGCTTGTTCGACTAAAGAGAGCAGTGCAGTACTGTAACAATACCCTTTTCAAAATCATGTGTCGATTTGAATTTGTTGAGGTGCTGCCACCTTAGGTTCAATGCCAGTGAACCAAACAGTGACATAAATGAACAAGAGTCAAAATGAAGACTTTGTTTGGCTCAAAATCAAATTCTTACGCACAAATTGCGTGCTCCGGCCTCCCATAATATACGGGTGGCAACTTTTGCAAGTCGCATCTATCAGTCTCTACGGAAAAAAATTACCAAGTCTCTGTGCATAGGAGAAACTATATTTACTAAATATTTTTGTGAGATTCATTGAACTAGTAAAATTTCTAAATTCTCGGATTTTAACTCAATTTTTTTATATAATTAGTTTTAAACTAGTGACATCTAACATTTCTAATAATTCTCCTGTCTTTAGACTTTCTGATGCGTTCATTTTGCAGACACTGATTATAGTCAAAGACTAACAAATGGTGCACAAGCACAAATTTTCAAGGAAGAAAATTGAAGGCGAAAAGGAAAGATCCATAAAAAAATACTACGAAGATTTGTTTTGATTCTCAGAATGTTTATCAAGATCCAAGATCCTTCAAAAAATGAAATTAATTAATCTCGATTCAAAAGGAAAATGCATCATACTTGAAAAGGAACCACAATCATGTGCTGTTGGTTAAAGACCACAATCTGAGTTGAAAAAGAAACGTCCCAAACAATTGTGCCAATAGAATTTTTAGGCAGGTTCTGACCGTGGACCATTAATCGCTAGTGAAAAAGCTAAGGCCCCACAAAAAATGTTTGCTTTTCTGGCCGTTCATCCCTCCTGAATCTTTTGGATTTTTAATAGTCAAATATCGAATTCTTCTTTTAACAGCCTGAAACTGCCATGCAGATATGACACTAGTAACATTGGGTGGATCTGGATCACCCATCAACACTAAAAGATGATCACAAAAATTGAACTTACTTAGGTTCCTCGGTCGTTGGGCCACAACATTAATGAAGCTTCAAATTTCCATGCATATATTCCAATTTGGGACCACAACTTGGTCTATGAAATTGAAACAATTTTCGGAGTTTGAATCAGAATATAGATTGTGCTTCTACCCACAGATATACAACAAATCTCTCCTTCGTGAACATGGCTGTCGGTATATTGTGATCAAAATTGTGCAAATGTGAACTCAAACTGCTAAAGTGTCCATTATTCTCACATTGTTTTGAGAGTGATGGTACGGCAAGCTATTGACCGTCGACCAAGCCTGGCAAAAATCCTATCTTCATGTAAGTAAGCTCTTTCTAATGTGAAACCAAGCGCTGGAATTTGAATTATCAAAAATAAGGGGAAGTAAAACTTTTGATTATTCAAAGATTGTGTTTGAATAACATTCGTATTATTCCAGATAGAGCCATAGCAAGCTTATTATTTCTAACACTAGTTTCGGCAGGGTGGCAAGACAGAGAACGTATGTTTAGTCCAAGTCGCCAAGAGGCCAGTTACCAACATAAATACACATTTTCCAAACAAAATTCTTAAAAAACATATCATCAAAACATTTAATTCAATGATTAATGCTGCATGATTTTCTCTTTAAAAATGATAGTTCGAATCCCCTTCTTTAAATAAAAATATAAACCTTGAGAAATATATTCAGTTGAACTAGGACAATTTTATGAATGTAAATCATTTACAGTATGTTTGGATTGAGGAAAATGGAAGGAAAGGAAAGAAAAATAAAAAAAAGTAATGAAAACAAAAAAATATTTCTTACTTTTAATTTAAAAGAAAGGAAAGAGGTGAAAATTCAATAATTCTTGGTTTCCTATAGTTTTCATTTTTTTAATACCCAAATTTAGAGAAAAAGCTGAGGAATGAAAAGCTGAAAAAATTTTATTTTTATAAAAAGACTATTATATCAAACTTTTTATTAGTATCAAAAGCCTAATAAAAAAAAATATAACCACATTACAATCTTTCTGTAATTTTTTCAAAATCATTTCTTTTTTCAAGTAAATTTCACATATTTCTTTCAATATAAAATTTTTTTTATAAATTTTTGGTGATTTGATCTTGATGAATGATTAAATATGAATAGACATGTTTTTTAAGTTTATGAGATGTCAAAGTGATAATATGCTGAAATTTTGATAATGGTCAATAAATCCATCAATGCATGTTTGTAAAACATCATTTTGTTTCACTTGATTAAAAATCACTAATATAGTAACAATTGTAAGGCTAGATAAGATAGCAAACATATTTTGATCCAGAAATGCATTATAAAATCACGAGCAATGAAAGGTTATAATTAAAAAAAATTATTATAATAAATAATTTTCTTTCTTTTTTACTCTTTATTTAAACAATGATTGTTAGAATTCATTTTTTTTAATTAATTTTAATTATCCAAACAAGGGGTACATATATCCTTTCATTTCTTTTTAAAAACTTTTTTTTTCTTTCCTTTCCTTTCATTTCTTTTATTAATATTTATCCAAACATAGCATTAAACCAATTCAACTAAAAATAATTAGTTAATTACCCATCATTCAGTTATAGATATATGTTCTCATCATAAATCAACAAATTTTATCAATTATTAGGCTAATTTGGAACGGTGCGCTTTGACCTGACTTGAATCTTGTTGACGTTTAAATTCTGGCAGGGCTATCGCCGGCTAATGAAATGTTCAATCCACCACCTTACATTGCCATTACGAAATCCAGGGGCTTGTTGATGATATTGATTGAAATCACTGTTGGCTTGAGAACTTAAAACTATAGCCAACACTTTCTGAAAACGACTCAAAAACTTTATATATACTGTTAAGATAATGAATGAAATTTTTTTGCCATGAAATGACGTGGAAGTTAAACAAAAGTAGGATAATATCATTTTCAACAGAAATCCGAAGGACGGTACATCTGCAATGCAATGTAGCATATTAAACTTATCAGGAATTGCGGACTTTCTTATGTCATCCAGGCCGAGATATGATTACTGTTGTTGCACATGATCAGGATAAATTCATAGCTCATAGTTGAGATTGAAAAAAAAAAGTGATTTTAACGTGAGATTGAAGGCTATGCTACGATAGATGTCACAGTCGGGACTAACAGGAACACCAAGGCTTCCCTTGGTAACGTGCATGGTGGGAGTCTTTGTCATTGCCTTTATGATGTTATTTTATGATTGAATTTAATCGCAATTGTGACACGATGGAATACTTTACACTGTGCTACCCTCTTGAATTGGTTAAAGATTTTTTTTTTCTTGCTATGTGTTATTTTCGATGAATGATTCATTATCCAGATGACAGAATTAGAGAAACTTGAAACAAAATCGCCTTCGAATTTTTGGGTTATTACTATAAGTCAAACAAATTTGGAATCCATCATTTTGCATGACAATGATTCCAGGGAAAGTCAGATCGGGAAAACTTTAGGATTTCCTTTTCCAAAGAGCTTGATGATCAAATTCTTAACAGGTAGTATCATAGCAAACCCCTTTTCATCAATTTCACCCAACAATGTATATTAATATAGTTGAATATGTTGCGTAAAAGATCTTGGAATTTAGGTCAACGGAAAACAAGAAGGAAAAAGAAAGAAAATTAAAAGGGTTGGGGTGGAGGGATATATCAAGAGAAGAGAAAGTATGAGAAATTAATTCGGTTTGGATGCAACTGGTAAACAGTATTTTGATAGCATGTTATTATAATATTAGTATTATATTTATAGAAATTTTTTTATAGAAAAAGTTCACTAAAGTAAAATTCTTATTGTAAGAGTCTTTAATCATGATGCCATTACTTGATACTGGATTCTAAAATTATTTAGAAATTACAATTTTATTTTTGAAAAAAATAATTAAAAGATTATATATTTAATTATTTATAATGCTAATTTTAGTGAAATGGAATTGGTTTATTTATAAACTTTTATATAAAGCCCATGGGAGGTCGATTAGGTGGATAGGGAATGAAGAATTCCACGAGTTTGGAATCAGATCTTGGAATTCATCTTTTAAAATAATTTATATGAATTATTTGGATTAAATTTTATTTTTATTTATTTATACTTTTATCTAATTACAATAGTGATTAATATAAATTCACTTTAGCTATCTAAATAAAATATTAAAAGTTCACTTTAATACTAGTGTTTTTGTTTATATTTGATGTATCAATGTAGCCACATCACAGCAGTGAAGTCAATTGATTCCGTTCAATTTTCTAAAACTTTAATTTAGCACTAGACTCTTAATAAATTTTTGTGTAATTTACTTATATTGATACCACTAAAATTAATGAAATTAAAAAAAGATAACATAATTTCTTAAAATATCTTATATTTAGGTCAAATTATGCAATTGATCCTTATAATAATATGAAATTTGAACTTTTATCTCTATATAATAATTTGCAAAAATTAGATCTATATTAGTTTAATTTAATAATATTGGTCCAATTGATAATATTGTGACCTTATCTCCATTAAATAATTGATGTGACTATTGACCACGCTAATGTGGCTGTTGATCATGCTAACATGACATTGATTTATTGATGTGACAATTGAAATTGACAAAATTAGGTATTAAATTATGCAAATAGTCCTTATACTTATATTAAATTTAAAATTTAGTCATTGTATTTGCATGACATTTAAAATTTAATCCCTCTAATATAAAAAATATTTTGAATTTTTTTAGTTTTTGCAAAATATTAAACTTTAAAAATATTTAAGTTCTTCTAATATATTAGTTTTTATTGTATATAATTAATTATTAATTAATAATATCATATTAATAATATTATTATAATTTATATTAATAAATTATAATATTAATAATTTAAATTAATATATCAAAATTAATATTATTTTAATTAGTATAAATATATCATAATGAGAACTTTCAATTTGTTTGATCTTCACAAAAAAAAAAACTTATTTAAATAATTAAGTTTGAATCCAACTTAATAATATTTTAATAAGACTAATAACATGAAATTAATATAGTAAAAATTTATTAAAAATAAGATAACTAAAATTTATATAATTTATAAGTAAACACATCAAATATTTGCTGAAAAAAATTTAAAATAATTAAAATTTTTTCTTAATTATGAAATTGTTGCATTTTGTAAGTATTTGGATTACTTTAAGTTATAAAATCTCTAACATCCCATAATTTTTAGTGACAAAGGAAAGCACGAATTTATAGTAGAAATGTAATACTAGAATTTAGAATTTTATTTTGGCAAAAATGATTTTCAAAAGCCTAAATTTCGGATGTCAAAATTTTACAAATCATCACAACAACCCTTAGAATCAGACTCATGCACACTGTGCAAATAATTTGATTTTTCATATTCAGATCTATCTTTATCTTCAACACTTACTACTCTTACTCCAACACCTAACCCATTATCCACCTCAATGCTAGTTTCATCACCTTGACCAATATCAATTTCAATTCCTAAATCAACATTAATCTCAAATATATGATCATCATCATGATCCATATCATAATCACTCTCATTAAAATCAAAATCAGAACTATCACTATCATTTTCATGTTCATTGAATAAAACTTCATCTTTCTCTAAATTAGAACTAACATCTTCACAACTTGCTTTTATTTCAACTTCGCTTTCACTTGCAACGTCTGAAGCAACTTTCACTTGTGATTCATCCTTAACAAATCTACCATTAGATCTATCATCTACATTATATTCATCAATGAGAGACTCATCTTCTAATAAATATGGATGTAATTATTTCTAGGCATGCAAGCAACCATATCCACTACATCAAAATCTGTTATAAGAGGCATAACATTATCATTACTAAATGCCCTTTCAAGTATTTTTCAATAATATATTGTTAAGCCTACATAACCTAACTCTTCAATCAAATCATTTATTTCAAGCATGGACATAGCTTATGCATGGTATAAATCAAAGTAATCAAGCCTCTATCCAATATACTTCATAATAGGAGTATACTCAAATTTACCACCATAATGAACAACGATTGAAAAGTAGTTTGATTTAGTCTCTGAAAGAATTATCAAATTTCAAACATTAATTAAAACTACTCTAATTTAGGCATAAAGTACATAATTAATCTATATCTAATAGCTTTAAACTAATATGTAATATATTAATAACCTTAGTTTGGTCAACATATATAGTTTACTTTTGAACATCATAATAAATTGAAACTTAGAAATAAAGAGTAGACACTAGCCTAATCCCTTTTTATTCTAACATTAAAATTTTAACATATTCATTAATCTAGTGACAACTTCAAGATTTGAAAATATGGTGGCATATGGTCATTTATATGTATCAAGTTATAACTAAAAGTCACATAGTACCTTGGTTATCAATATCAATGTATTCCCTTATTTGATTCTCTAGAATTGATTGTTTTTTACATCTAAATTATGATATTAATATATAAAAGATTACAACATATGCAGAAAATGTAGATAACACTTTATCAAAAAAAAAAAAAAGAACTATTTGAACTCAATTTATATGAGCCCAAATTAAGTCAAGAATATCATCACAAGTGTTGACTCAATTAAATAATCTTCACTAGATGACAATTAAGTACACATGCCTCAAAATGCAATCAAACCCAAACATGGCTTCACATGCCTTAAAAAACATTCAAAACCAAACATAGCTCCATGTGCCTCAATAATGCCTCCACAATACAGGACAAGCAAACAAAATTGACTTAGCACACTGAGCAGAATATAAGCATTGAAAAATGACTCATCACATTCAATACTACACAAAGCATAATAAAAACATGTTTGAAACAACTATATTAAATACTTTAAACTAAATTAATCCATTTAAACTGCCTTATTTAGTAGTAGACAGAAACGAAAAAAACAACAAAAATATGTTGAACACTTACCATCCATAAGCATAACATCCCCTTTCAATCAAAGCTTTTTTTTGTTCATTACTTGCCAAACCCTAAACAAACACCAACAACAGAATCTAATATGATCTTACGCAATTTAAAAAAACACAAAATCGTAATATCTAACTCTTGATTTTCCTCAAATCACAACTTTTGCAACCTTAAACCCAAATCACAGTATTTTCTTAATGTAACCTTAAACCCCAAATCACATAAACTCCAAACCCTTAAATTCGTTATGGACTAATATGACTTTATAACCCAAGAAATTTATCTTATGTGAAATTTTAGCAATGCCATATAGGTTATTTTAGCTTACGTGAATGCTATTTGAGTTATTTTATTTATCATATTATCAAACTTTAAATTTTTAAAATGTCAAATCAAATTATTGTTACTGTTTAATGTCTCAGTGATTATAAAAAACATTAATTCAAATAGTAGTGACTAAAACAAAAAAAAATATTTTAGTGATAATTTTAAACAGACCTCAATAGTTTAATGACTATTAAGGTATTTTATCCTAAATTTTATATGAAACCTAAGGGAGGTCGATTCAATGGATGGGGAATGAAGAAGAATTCCAAGAGTTTGAAATCCAATCTCAATTTGGTTGGAATTCACTTTTTTTTTTTTTTTAAATGAATCATGAATTAAATCTTAAATTTATTTATTTATACTCTTATCTAATTATAATAATGTCTAATATAAATTCACTTTAGCTATCCAAATAAAAATATTAAAAATTCACTTTAGTACTGGTGTTTATGTTTATTTTTGATGGATCAAACAGTGGCGTAGCCACATATACCGCAGTGGAGTCAATTGATTCCACTCGATTTTTTAAAACTTTAATTTAACATAAGTCTATAATAAATTTTTGTGTAATTTATTTATATTGATCTCATTAAAATTAATAAAAATTTTAAAAAATATAATTTAAAAAAATCTTATATTTATATTTATATTATATTTTATATATGATTATAAATTTTTATTTGATACAATTTGACTATTAATAAGAATATTTGATTAATCTTTAAATTTTATTTATTTAAAAATATTATTTACTCATTAATAAAATCTTAAAGGAAGTCTTCAAAACTTCCAAGTCTCTAGATTTAAGTTTCATCAAGTGCAGATTTTTGTCCAAAATTACATATCTATTGGTTGGTTGTTAATTTAATTTGCTTATAGGTTATATTAAAAATTATTTAATTATAATTGTAATTTCTTCAAATACATATAATTTCATAAAAAAAATATTGTTTACTTTTGCATCTAACTACATCATTTATCTTTTTTATTAAATATAAATAATAACAAAGTAAGAATGAAACCCAACTCATAAAATTCAAGAATTATAAAATCATAGACTTGAAATAATATCTTACTGACATTATATTAAATTATTGATAAAATAACGAGATAATATATTCTATAATTTTATAAACATAAAACTTGCGAATTTAACATAAAAATTATTTTTAATATATATAATATTATATTTATATAATGAAAGTTGAACTATGATTCGATTGAAAAATTTTTCGGACTAACCTTGGTATTAAATAATATCAATACTGCTTTCAAAAAATAATCCATATAAATTCTAACGAATGATTATTTTTCTTAATGATTGGTGATAAATAATTTTGATTTATTATCATCGGTTTATATGAACTTTTTTTTTTTTTTATAGTTAATCGTAACTTAATTTGATTTCTAATTTTTCTCTTTTCAATGCATTACTTCCTCTCTTTGGGTTCCTCTAAACTGGCCCACCTTATTGAACGGTTGGGATCAATTGGGCTGAAGCCCAGTTCAGTTTTCCTTTTCACAATTGGGCCCAAGCCCAGAGGTTTTTTACCATTGAGTTAAACTTAAAACCCCCATTAGTCCTTCCCATAAACCCAAAACCCCACTCCTCTCAACCCGAAAGTCATGGCCATGTTGGTCGGCCCCAATCTGCTCCGCCGCCTTTTACGTTTACAACCTTCCGCCATAGACGGCGGAAGTGGACTTATCATATCGGTCATCCACCAGTTCCGATCACACTACAGTACAACCGCCGAGTTGTCAGCCGATCACCCAAACGATGAGGGAAATAGTGAGAAGAAAGATAGCAAATGGTTCACGCTACCCCCATTTGCTAAAACCGTCAATGCTTCGGTATTGCGAGCCAAACTAGCCGGAAAATCTCATTTGAAAGAGGCTGATGAATCGACGGCGATCAAGTGGGTTCTGAAATGCTGCCCGGAGCTGCCCAGAAGTCTAGTACAAAAGCTATTTCGTTTAAGACAGGTTTATGTCCATTTGTAAATATTTTTCTTTAAATCCCATAAAAAATTGGTTTGAAGCGTTAAATTAGATAACTTTTCAATTCATTTACACAGGTTCGACGAGAATCCAAAATCGTGGAGGTTTCTGATGATGATTCTCAAGTACAAAGGATTCAACTTAAAAGGGTAATTTTATTTGTAGTTGCTTTATTTTCATGTATTGAGAAATTTTTTCTTTATGATGTTTGAAATTACTGGAAAGGTTGGAGCGAAGGATTCATTGAACATTGGAGATAGAATCTTTCTTCCCATTACTGTCCGAGAGTTTCCAGAGGAGAAACAAGAACATGGCTGCACCGATGAAGAATTGAACTTTATCCGAAACCTGGAGCTTTATAAGGTCTTAACTTAGACTGCCTAAGTTGGTGTAGTAAATATTAAGTTATCTCCTATTCTCATTTCTAACTTATCATCCAGCATCCTATTTGATGTTAGGATCCAGCCATTATTGTTCTCAATAAGCCTCCGGGGATGCCAGTTCAAGTAAGCCATCAGATTTTAATTTGTTTTTCCTCTTTGTATTTCTTATTGTTGATTTCTTTCTATACTTGAATTTTAAAACAGGGTGGTATTGGCATCAAATGGAGTTTAGATGAATTAGCAGCAACCTGGTTATGTTATGATTACTCAGAACCACCTCGCCTGGTGAGTGAATATAAGTGAACTTTGTTACCTGCAAATTTCTAAAATACAATTTGTTTATTTGTTGGTCAAAGTCAAGTTGCATTGTAGACGCACTGTGACCTCAAATTCACCAGTTCATCATATTCCATTCTGTTAGGAAATAGTTGGATAGTAAAGAGCCTTTTTCCATTATACTTGGTATGTTATAAGGGTATATATATATATTTGGGTTAATTTTAGAAACCTTTTTTTCTTTGCATGAACATTTTTGCATTAATTAGGTGCACAGACTTGACAGAGATTGCAGTGGCATATTGGTGATGGGGAGAACGCAAACAAGTGCCAGAATTCTTCATTCTGTATTCCGCGAGGAAACAATTGGTGTATCAGAACATGTAACATTCTTTTGTCTGTACTTGCTCTCTGTTGGAAGTCTTACATAATCAGTAGAACCGCAATGTTATTGGTTCAGTTATGCTTAACTTTAGTCTGTCATGTTTTAAGGATTTTGACAATGAGAAAAGAATCTTGCAAAAGAAGTATTGGGCACTTGTCATTGGGTCTCCAAGGCGCCCCAAGGGAACAATTTCTGCTCCACTTCGAAAGGTTAGAATATTCTTGATTCTAGTTACTGTTTTTTTTTTCCTTGGCCAAGAGATTCTAGGTTGTCCTCTTTTTCCAAATATTAAAACCATTCTTATTATAGATGCTTTGACACTTAAACCATATGCATGTGCTAGTAGACAATGCCTTAGTTGTAGTTAACATGTATTATATTTGCTGAACAATTCTTGGTTTCTGCTGATCTAGGTGGTGGTGGATGATGGGAAATCTGATCGAATCACCGTCTTTGACAATACCAAGATTATGTCATCTCAACATGCAATAACAGAGTATAGTGTCATAAAAACATCATCTCATGGTAACATCCTAGTAGCATTATTTCATGTAATTATATAGAATTTTATATATGAAATAGGAATGAAGAGTTGTCCTGGTTATACCACTTATCATGTGTAAACCTTTTATGACCTCATCCATGGAAATCAAGTGTTGCAACACATGTTTATGCACACACACAGATACAAACCTACATATTTTGACATGCACGTTATGCCACTATAAGAATCATTTTTAATGATGAGTTTTACTTTAGTTTTACTGTTACTATATCTTAAAACATGTTAATCTTTTACCTTTTGGGTTGACAGATATTGTCTGTCCATGTCAAAATGGACATGCCTTCATACTGTGTACACAATCATGCAGTGTTATTCCCAATAAATTCCACTGGTGCAAATTAATAATATTGCAGTAGCAATTTGCCACTGTTCATCTCTGTCGCCCATTGAAATCAATGGAAAATTTGTTCGGAAGTGCTACTTTTTTAAAAAAGTTTTGGTGTATAAAATGTAAATTGGAAATTTGGGGACACATTCTTTTACCTGCTTTTGTCTCTACTCTATTCTTCTATGAGAGAAACTCATTTAGAGTCATTTAGCTTCATGCTGTCTTGTCTCATGTCAAAAACAGGCAAACTGCAAAACAAGCTCATCTGGTACTGAAAGAAAGGTTTTTGATTTTTAGTTATGAGAAATGCATCTAAAGAATTACTTGGAGGACTTGTCCCCATTGATTTCATCTGTTTAAATTTCCATTAGGTTTATCTTTGTGCATTGGAGTATTCAACAACTTCTTGACTATGTTTCAGTTCTGTCCCAAACTCCTAGTTTTACTGTTATTTTTCTTTTTTCCTTTTTCAAATGCAACTCTGGCTTTGCATACCCTTCTTATGCTAGTGATCTTAATGCAGGCTACACATGGTTAGAGCTGTCTCCTCTCACTGGAAGAAAACACCAAGTTTGTATCAGAGCCAAAATCTGCCATTATTTTTGCTGCTTTTTTCTTTTTCCTAAATCACTGTCAATTTTGTAAATCCTTTTTCTACCATATATGCCTTACCACAGCTTCGGGTACATTGTGCTGAGATATTGGGAACACCAATTGTTGGAGACTACAAATATGGGTGGCAAGCTCATAGAAGGTGGCAAAATTTGCCCGAGTCTGATCTTGGAAAGAACTCAAATGAGAAGTTTTCAAAGGAAAATAGTCTCCCTTTTGGCCTCAACATGAACAGTGGAAGCATTTTGGAAAAGCGCCTACGCCTGCACCTTCACTGTAGGGAAATGATCTTGCCAAATGTCTCTCAGGCATTGCAATATCTGCAATCGTCTACAGATCATGATCTTTCAAAGCTCAAAAGCCTGGAAATAGTTGCTCCATTGCCTTCATACATGCAAAAAAGTTGGGATATCTTGAATTCTTGAGCTATAACTGGGATCTTGCAAGCTTCCAAGTTTGCTATCAATTATTAGTTACTAGAAAATTTTCTACGCGATGCTGCGGAAGATTTTTTTTTTTTTTAAATATATATTTACAGCTTTTTTTGTATTTTAAAATACATGTCAATTTGAATTATTGATGCAAGTAAAATATAAAAGAATTTATTAATGTCATCAAATGTGGCAATCAGATATAAATACTAATAATTTTTCAAATCTAATTCTTAGAGTATATGCATAAAATATATATATATATATATATATTTACTTATAACAAATTTCAGCATTTGTAATTTTTTTTATTTTTAAATTGTCTTTTTTCTTTTAAATGCAAATTTTTATGCATCTTCAAAGAAGAGACTAAAGCCTGACCCTGAGGAGTCAGGACAATTTTTTTCAATCATTTAAGAATTAAGGTGCTTGTAGACATCGATACTAGGGGCCATTTTCTATATTATAGTCGTTATGATTTGTCTCCTTTCTCTTTAAATGAACTAATGGAGCAGTTGTTATTTGCTTCTTCTTTCTTTCATAAAGATGAATTCAACTGTAATTAATGAGGATTAAGGATTTATCTCAGTCCAGGTAACGTGGAACAGAAATATGATGATGGGACAGAAATCAATGATGATGAAGTTTTCTTAACAGAATTGTCAAATAGCGGTGGGTGACCTGATCAGAAAGATTAGAAGCAAAATAAAGATAGTTAAGATTATATAATTTGAATTGATATAATATTAAATTTGAATTTGATTTTAAATTTAAAATTTAAAATTTAATTTGAATTTAATCAAAATTTATTTTTTAAGTTCGAATTCGATTCGAAATAAAAATTAAATTATTTTAAATTTATTAGATTAAATTTTATTAATATATAAAAATAAATTTAAATTTTATATTCGATAAAAATTTTATTATTTATATTCAAATTTAAGTTTAAAATATATTAAAATATAAAAATTTGATTAGATTCGTGAATTACTTGAATCGAATATAATAATATTTAAATTCGATTGATGAATAAATCAAATTATTTATACTTGAATTTAATTCAATAAAAATAATTTTTATTCTAATAAAATTCTAATTTTATTCTAATAAAATTTTTATAATTTATAAATATTAATTTACGAATATTAATGTATAATTTGTACGTAAAAGACAAACTCTTGAAAATTTTCCTCGAAATAACAGCTGGACTAGTCCGGGGGTTGTCGAAGCTAACGAGTATTCCATATTTGGTGCAAAGATGTGGCTATACATTAGGAAATGACCCACAAGGAAAAGCTTCTCTTCCAATCATTGCTGATCATGTTTCCAGAAATTAAAATAAAAAATGGTAAAAAACATTTGATAATTAACATAAATTAGCACCAAATAAAATTTGCTTAAATGGAAATAAAGAAATCAAGGTGGGGATAAATCATGTATTAATGTATTTTTAATAGTAACTTTGGTATTGCAATTTACAATACCTTGGTTAAAGGTTAGTCATATTTCTAAAGAGGTAAGTACGTGGCCACCAACCCCTTTGCACTGTGGTCCTATGAAAAAAAAAAAAAAATTAAGGCAAGTGCGCAACCCGCTCCCTAGTTGTTAAGTCAAAAGAATTCCATATTTGCATGACGCCGGCCAAAATTTCAACTTCTTTCCTGTTTATATATAGCTGGAGTTGGATAGTTGGGTTCCCCGTTATCCCAACTTTCCTCTGTAAACACACACAAAAAATGAAAATTTGACCAAAGTGAAAATGGGTAGCCTTAAAACTGAGAACAACTACAGGATGGGCAGCCAGAGAACCTTCAGGGATCTTGTCTCCTTGCACTTAGACTCTTAGGTTTTCTCTTGTTACTTTTGCTGTTCTTTTTTTTTTTTTTTTTAACTCTCATTTCTGGTACTTTTACATGATGATTGATGAAACATCATTATTTTTATCTGATAATAATAATTTTCTCAGGAAGACAGGTCCAGATGGTGTTCTTATCAAGGTTATGTGCTGTGGAATCTGCCACACTGATCTTCATCAAACCAAAATGGATCTTGGCATATGGAACTTATTTTTTCTTGGTAAACCTGTGCCTTTTTTTTTTCTTGACAGGTGTTATTAACACCCTCTTCAGTTTGTTGCCCCTATGATCATGCTTGGTGAGTCAAATTCTTTGAGCAAATTTTGTATCCATATTTTTTGTTTTTTTGAGGCCAATAACTAATGCTTCTCATGTTGGCTGCTCTGTTTTTTGCTCTAGCTATAGCTTTTCTGTTTTCTCTGTCCAATATTGTATAGGGAGGGAATCGATTACAGGTACCTTCATTGGGAACATGAAGGAAACAGAGAAGTTGCTTCAATTCTGTAAAGAGAAAGATTTAACCTCAATGATTGAAGTGGTGAAGATGGATTACGTCAACACAGCCATGCAGAGGCCCAAGAAGAATGATGTTCGATACAGGTTCGTCCTGGATGTTGGAAGCAAGCTTGATCAATAGAAAAAGAAAAAAAAAAAAGAGAACTCCTTCAACTAAACATCATATATTTCCTCAACAAATTAAATACATTTTAAAAAACCACTCTGTTTTCTCTGTTTGTTGTTCAAGTGAAAAATGACTCCGTTTTTTGGTTGTTCTGTTTTCTCTGCCTATTCCAGTATAAAGGAAAAATGAATATGAGGTGTTGTTTTCATTTTTTTTATATTAAGATTCATTACCACTAGTTTGGGCGCCAAGAAAATTCAAAATTTCCTTAAGGGTGCTGATTTAGTTGATTACATCATCGATACTTCGCCGTTATTTCATCCTCTTGACCCGTATCTCTCTTATCGTGGAAACTTGATTGAAAACTTGATCACGGTGAGTGCTGTTGACATGCCTCTTAATTCCTCTCCCCTAATATATTCTTCGGCAAGTCAAAAAAGAGCTCGTCAATAATTGGCACAATGTATCAAACAGTGAAATTATCATCTAAACACAGCCCTCAGGTATTCTAATATTTGGAAAAAAACATGTAAAACATAAAAATGCACATCCCATCAGCTATGATTTTTTAGATTTAACACAACGTATATTAATAAAAAACAAAGGGTCAAAGTCATTAAATTTCAAATAGCTTCATTTGATCAATCATCTTGATCACTGACAAATCATTTTCTAACCTCAATTCATTTGGTTCTAATTTCTGCTCCTGCTGGTAAGAAGAAAAAAAAAAAAAAAACCCATGAATAAGGCTACAAAGGCTTTCTTCAGGTTGAGGTTAGCCTTTTTCTCATTTTCTCCTTTATGCTGCATTTCTCCCGTTGCAAACCATAAAGCCTTCTAATATTGATGCAGTCTCCAAAGTACTCACTGATCTTAAAATTGGTGGCTATTCTGAGGGGTTCGAAAATCATATCCTTTGGCTAAAGTAAATGTTCATAAGATACCTCGAAGGATTGAAGCCACTTAAAATCACTGCATGGCAAAAATAAGTCAGTTTCGGTTATGATGCCAATGCAAAAGCAGAATACAGATATCAAGTTGAAACTTACAGATAGGAGAGAGAATGATAACGACACCAATTGGGTAGAGGAAAAATGTTGTTGTCTCCAAAAAGGGAAGTACTGCAGCACAATAGATATGTCAATTCTTTAAGGTAATAATTAGCCGTTTCTTCAAGAGGTTTCATACCAAAAAAAAAATTTATATATATATATATATATATATAGGCCATTCACCAAACACAGAAGAAAAAGAGCAACGAAATGAGCTTTACCGTCATAACCTAAGAAGTTGAGGTAGTGATAGTAAGAAGCAGCCACCATGACAAGCAGATTTGACAGCAATACAGGTATAAAGCCATGGGCTACCAGAAGCGGTGACAGAAAATAATGTATTACTGCCAAATACCACAATATTATTAGTCACATCTTGATCCATTTAGTTATTGAAATTATAAATGAAAGAACCAAACAGACATAAAATTACCATAAAGCATTGCAAACATTGGGAAGAAAGAATTGCAGTGCACATCAAATGCGTACAACCTTCAAGCAAAGGAAAACCGCAGTCAGCACCAGACAATTATTTTAGATACTAATATCCACGAGCTACTATGCTGCTTGAGGAAGATAAAAGTCAAAAGTATTGATGAACCAAATCCATCAATTAACAATTAAACCAACACAAACAGCTCACTCATAGAGATATTAAATTTCTGGATAGTTAGGAAGAAGTCTCCAGACTTGCCATTCAACCCGTTGTTCAACCACATGTGTATTGGGAGCCTCTTCCCGAAGGTAAGCATTTGTCAGGAACCTACATGGAGTCAGGGAGTGAAATTCACCATCAAACAAGTGTACTTCTATGTAACACACAAGCCCTATTGCACATAACCGCAGCCTGTATTAAAAAATGCTGTAGAAACTAATCAGCCCAGTACTCCAGGCATACTAGTTCTCTCAACCACTTCATGATGTTCAACTAATAAAGCATAAATTTTGGTTTGCACAATAATGCTAGTGTCAGGGTTGCTTGTATCTGCTTAGCTAGAACAAGTTCTACAGATTTTTTTATTTTTGTATCTTTACATTTGTGCCAGAAGCTTGCAGCATTCTCATATACATACTTACTGTTGTCTTGCAGTTAGTTTTAAACTTTTTCTTATGGAATGAAGATATGCAACAAGCTAATATAAAGGCTATAGTCTCCACATAAAGGTAAATCAATTTACTTTTGGCTACCAATTCCTTGGATATCTCAAGGATTCAAGCCCTGTGAGTAATTTCAAATAAAAGTAATGACAAGCTTGATCTCCCTCCTTTGGTAACATTAATGTCTTCTAGACAGTGAACCACTACCAGGCCTATTCCACAACCATAACTAAATTCCACAAACCTTAAACCACATCTCAATAACTGTGAAACAACTACAGCAGTCTGGTCTAGCCTCGCATCACGTATTATAGCAGTTTTTCCACCCTTTTGAATAAGATGTCAGGTCAAGTAGAGCATGAGAGTCCAATGGTATGATGGTTATGGATCATATTTCAACCAACCCATCTTTGCTCATTTTTAAAACAATTTACATGTTTGAATGAACATTAAATATCAATCTCTGATGCATCTGCCAGAGTATGCAGATAACTCTTGAGTCAAGTTTGTAGTTTTAGAACATAGATGACATTACACTACAGGGTAATTATAGCCATTTGCGGGCAATCAAGCAATTCTTGATTCTAGTAATCAAATAATCAACTAATATGAACCACTAAATTAGATTGTGCTCATCATAGAAGCTAATGCAACACATTTCTGTCGTGCTGCAGTGATAAAGCTGTGTAAAGATAAACATGGCACTGCACAGATATATGTCTACTTCCAAAAGCAGCTGGGCTTTCAAAAAGAACAGCAGGCACAGGCACTAGCTTAATTTATGCAGGTTCACATTTTATATTAACCGCAGATATGTGCTACAATTAAAGTCAATTTTGAGATAACTCAAAGTTAAGTTATTGTTTTTTTAAAAGACACTAGCTCCAGTTAAAACTAACAAAAGAGATACTGGCTCTTACCAACAACATGTAGCCAGAAATATCCCAGCAAGTAAAAAATGGAAAAGCAATACTGAAATAACTACAAAAACAGCATGTGCAGCACTGTGATCATACCTGCATTAAAGAGAAGATAGCAAAACATTACATGACTAGGTCCATAAAATATTTCACAGTACAGTGGAAAAGGTAAAAAGTAAAAGAATTCCAATATATTGGGCACAATGTTTGGGCCAGGATATTACTTGGAAGAGCTTAGCAGTCTCATGATGCTTATGACTACAAATTATCTGAGACTTTCACAAGTGCAACCTAAGAAAATCTTAGAACAAAGATACCATATCAATTATTAGCACCAAAAGCAAGCCAATTTGGAATAAATAAGATTTGAATCTAAGACTAATTCCTATCCAACTGAGGCCTCATCAATCTAAAGGCAAGGATCACTTTTAAGTACCACTAATTAGTAATTCATTTTTGTTATATGCAGCCATGTTTGAAATTGTAAAAGAAACTTACGCAGCACAATAAGCTACTGTTGCAACTGCCAAAAGAAGGCTACAGATTACAACAAAAGCAGGGTCATCACGTGCCCACTGGTTCTTTGTTTCTGAGCCAAAAAGACAAATAAACAACTTTTCAAGTTCATGAGATAGTGGAAAGAATTTAATAAATTCACATCTTTAATGAGTTCATGGACGTGAAATTTAAAACCCAGAAGGAAAACAAGAAAACTATATTTACCCACTAGTTTTAATGTTAAACGAATTACCTAGCATCGTACTCTTACTGACTTAAACGTGCTTTTCATGTATTGCTACTTTTTTAGGGTAGGGGTAGGGGAGGAAAAGGCAAAGGGAAGTGCCTAAAAGCTCACTGCAGTTCCAAATTGAATTCACATTCAGTTAACCACTTGATAGATTACAAGTCAGTTGAAACATGCACTGATTTCAATTTATTATAGCATATACAGCCATATAGGCTTACCAAAGATGATGGCACCTATCACAAGGTAGAAAATTCAATGTGTACAATGTTTTACACTATTGGGAGCTAATTATCAGCAATAACCACTTGACAGAGTACAAGTCAATCGACGAGCAACTACTTTTGCACTAAGTACACCTCTAGGAACAAAAACAGCATGTGTGATTAACAATATTGCTCCTCCAACTTGACATAAACAGATAAAAATAAACAAAACATTCATTAAACAGAAATGGACTTACGTTTGTGATACTTTGTGTGCTGATAGCTGAATCCACCATAGAAATTCATATGCACAATAGAACAAAAAAAATTAGACAAGCACATTTCCAAACTCAAAAGATTTTTTTTCTGCAGATAATCACTTTCACTCCTTCCCCTAATAAAGCCCAAAAAGAACACTTAATAGGTATGAACACAACCAAGCAATAGCAAGGTTCCTGTAGTGGATACAAAAGAGAGCAATATGACACAATCCTATGATCTCTACCCAAACAAAAAGCATACTCAATATTAAAACATAACAATTTCTAGAGAAAAAATTAATAAATGGTAAATGCTCAAAGCCTTCTTAGATAAAGTGGATTACTAGTTGAAATTTCATTTCAAGAATCTCTGAAATTGTATGTAAGCAATGAGAATTAAAAATCAGTCAGCACAAAATGGTGTGTTAAGTACTTTTCTTCTATTCCTGGAATTATATGGACCTAGCAATCAGTAACCAGTTGATAATGAAAATATTGGACTATAAAAAACAAGTGGATTGATGATAATGGGTGGATACTTACACAACCTTGGGTGCAGTACATAGGTGAAGCATTTGCCAGAATGTATATTCAATATCCATTTGTTGCCACTAGAAGAACAAACAAAGGAAAATGGAACATGATGAGATAAAGCAACCATATACAGAAAAGATGCTCATGGAGAATGCAATGGAAATGACCCCATGCATCCTAAGCCAAGTTAACTGCATATTTTGTTTCATTGGATGTTCAACATCGACGGCTGCTACATTTTAACATACTACATAGAACATAGAAATTTGAAAATTTTCACATTATGTGACTTTCCATTTCATGAAAGAATGAAGCAATGGAAAATCAACTGCTTACAAGCAGCTATACCAGAGACAAGCAATCAAATCTAGGTGAAATAAATAACAACATATAAAAAGAAAAAGGAAAAGCAAGAGTTCACATTAGACATCAGTTCGCTTAGGAGGTCTAAACTGATCAAAAGTTCGCAAAATTATCCCGTGAGTGCTCAAATTTAACTTGGCAAAGACATATATCAAAGTCAAAAGTCAAATTATTCATTTCATTAGAAAATTGCCGCTGAATTACTAGAGATTCGAAGAGAAACAATCCAGCTAGTGTTACTTCGATGTATTTCCAGGAGGAAACACGTGAATTGCTAACGGATCCAAAGTCTTATTATTAAGAAATTACTTAATTCTGTCCTCATTGCTTCTCCCTTATTGAAATTAGAACTGAATTATTGAATTCACATTGATCACTTCTCTCTTATCACTTCCAAAACTTAAGTCCACTCATTAATGACAGACATTACCGACCAATAAATCCTTAAATTGAAATAATAAAAATAAGGGAAATTTGTGAATTTCATCAAGCACTAGAGCAGAGACATCATGAAATGACAGCAAAAATGGATTAAAAAAAAAAGCAACATCGACAAGTTCTATTCCTAATTAGATCATGATTCGAACTATATATATATATATATATATATATATAAATTAGATGAAAATGAAGATCAGATCCAGCGAGAGTGAGAGATTGGACCTTGACAATTCGACGGAGGTACTGAGGGAACATGGGGTTAGGTCGAGACGCGGAAGACGACGAGCGCGTTTTGCTAACCGTTGGTAACATCTTTTTTCCTCTTGCAGCTGTTCGATTTGCTTCTTCGATCGAGAATTTGTTGGGATGTCTTTTTTTTTTTTTACAGCTCCGAGTCTCTCTCACTTGAGAAGAGAAGACGGAAACGTTAAAACGACAACTACGACGACGACGACTCTATTTCTCTGTGTCTCTCGCACTCGCTCTGACGAGGCATCGACCCGCCACCTGCCCTGCCTAATTGCCCATAAGTTAACTTGGACAGATGAACTGCTTTTGTGAGATGGGCTTCAGATTCGGCTCAGAGAAACCAAACCCATGTTCGTTCGGGTTAGATGATTTCTATGGGTTTGGGTTAGACTTATGGGCCTAGGGCTTCAAAGACATGTTTGTCGTTCATAGCTTATTTTATTATTACTATTCACTTAGTTTGATAGATAAATCTTAGCTTTTTTATTATTTTAAATTTTTATTATTATTTTTTTTATAAATAAAAATAAAAGCATCCACCAAACAAAACCTTACTAATCGTTACTCCTCCATTAACTTTAACATAGTTTCTAAGATCCATAAAAACCCAAAAGAGTAAGAAACTGAACAAGGAGGTCCATTTAGAGCCCAGCCCATTGTTATTAAGCAGAGACGGAAACTTCGAATCGAGAATAAACAGAAATATCAAATCTGCCAAGAAACCCCAAAATTCGACGATTGTTAGGGTTTTTGCCACAAGATGTCGACGGGCAGGCCAAAGGATGGCGACTCTAAATTTGCGCTAGCGGAGCAAAGACCAGGACTTCCGCCACGGCCTCCATCGACGGCGATTGTAGAGTACGAGAAGCCGGCATTCAAGGATGAGGAAGAGGACCTAGAGGTGAAGCTCCGCCGCATTATAGAGAATGTCCCCGTCCGCGTTAGCAATACCTCCGGAAGTTCTGCTGGTTCTGGGTCCGGTGATTTCCACCAGGTATTTTATTACTATAAGTATCCATTAAAAAAATGTATGGTTTTGTTTTCATGCCTTGCCTACTACCTCTTAACTGGGGCTTGCTTTGTTAGTGGATTGGCTGATGAAATAGCTATTGCTTGTGTGAAAGTTTAAAGATTGTTGATCGGTTTGTTTTGGGTATCTTTAGATTTTATGGGAAATATAGTTGTAGGATGGTTAATTGGGCATCATTTCACTCTAGGCACTAAATCTACAGCTAGGAGTGCAACACTTAGCCTTCTTCAATGTTCTGAAAGTGCAATACCAGACTTTCCTCTCGACAGGAGTATGATTAGCTAAGTTTTGAGAAGTTTCTTTGTCATTTTGTTGAAATTGTTATTTATGTTTAAGATTTAATTTTTGCTTGAAGGTTTCTTCTAACTTACCTGAGACATAGCCTTTTTTAGTTTTAGCATATGATTGAAGGACAGTTTTGTGCTTCCCTTTGGGTGTTTGCAATCTCTATGCTTGTTAGGGCAATTGGGATGCAATGGAATCTTTTTTCTTTTCTTTTAGATTGGTGCAGCATATGATGTCTTAATGTATAAGCATCTTCGTGAGCTAGTTTTGAGTGCACATTGTAAAATTTCGAGTGCATATAATTGTTTGGAAAATATTGGTATGTAAAATTAGGTGACTTACCAGCCTTCCTTCCAAATCTTCTTTCTTTTATTCTCAAAGTAAGTTTTCTGTCTGTTGCTACAGTATCGGCAGATGAGACGGAAAGAGCAAGACAGGCTTGCGAGAATGGATGCTGACTACCAGAAAAGGAAGGAAATAGCTGAGTTTAACTTGAGGAGGGAAGAAAGATTGAAAGCTGCTGAGGAACGAACAGCAAAGAAGCGCTTGAAACGCCAAAAGAAAAAGCTAAGGAAAAAGGAGAAGAAGATGAAATCAAGTGCTGAGGGAGAAGAGAACAAGAAGGAAGAGTCTTCAGATGATGAAGGGGATTCTGAAAATGATGAAGAAGCATCACAATGAACAAATTTTCACTTGATATTTATGCTCAGACCTTGGTCCCATGAACTTGGCTCCAACTAGAAGGAATCAGATACACCAACATCGAGATATTGTGGTTCAGTTGTTCTTATTTATACTGATTTGGTTTTCCTTGTGTATATACTTGTGAGCAGTGAAAGCTTGAGGAGTGGGGGATCCAAATGAACAAGGTCTGAAATGTTTGATTTCTTTTGCTTATTCTGACTGACAAGATTGAATGCCTTCACCACCTTTAGATGCAGTTCTGCCGTTAAGAACATATTAAATGAGCTCATTTGATGCCTGTTATATGCTTTCAAATTTTTGTTGGCTTAAGAAAATTGTATATTTACTGGCCCTACTTGTTTGCTGTTCTAGATCATGAAACCAGTGACAAATCTATTAAAAATCAGGAAGATATCTGTTTCAAAATAAGTGTTTACTTGGGTACTAAGTTAATGATGACATTAGTTTGGTCAATCTTTGCCTAATGTTTAATTAATCCTGGTTGACTGGACCCATGCTGCGGTATAGAATACTTGTTACTTTTACGAGGGATGGAAGTTATTATGGGACGAAAGTGGGTGGTTGATGATTTGATCTACCCGTCATGTGCAATTGTTACTGTTACCAGTGGCCACCAGGGCACCGGAAGCAAATATGCAAGATAGCTCTGCTGGTCCAGTTCATCAGCTGCTGCCTACTGGTTTGTTTTTTCTTGTTGGTCTATCGTTCACATCACCTATCGCTATTTCTGGTGCGATAAGTTGAGAGAAGCTAAGGTTTCAGTCGACATCAAAACTATGCTCTATATAATACATCTACATTGTAACCAAAGCTAAGGAGTCTGCGTAAGCCCTACGGCTATGATTTATGCCAATTTGAATCTGGTTTATCAAATTCTAAAGAGAAAAAAGAAAAGCGTAATCCAATTGATTTTAGTAGTTCAATTTCTACTTCTTAATTGTACAGTGTAATGTTGATGTGATCTCACCATTTCATACGTGCTTAGCTCTACATGATTTCATGGTGTCCTAGTAAATTATGGATATCCAAAAAAGAATCTAGTAAATTATCGAAATCATGATACTGAATTTCATGATACGAATGGTGGCGATAGCTGAACAGATAATAGGCCGAATGAGCCCATCTCAAGTTAAGTGCGCAAAGCCCATGACCTGACCTGTTCACTCTCTCTCCTTTTCTCCCTCCCTATTCTCTGTCCCTCTCCTCTCCTCTAAAATCAATTGCAGAAGAAACGAAAACAGCAATCGTCCCATGGGAGATTCCAACCCAACTCCTCGCATATCAGTTCATCAAGCTCTTGGTGGTGGCCTAGGTCTCCTCTCTTTCTATACCTTTAAATATATTCGCAGCATATTCATACATATACCCAGCAGCCTCTTCATTTCATTTCCAGATAGATCTGTTTCACTTTCATTAACGCTTACACGATCATTTCTATAAATGAATTTTTTCCGAATTCTAATATTTCAGAAAATATGCGTTAATTATATTTTTCAACAACACCCCTTTTCATTTTTAAATTTGGTTTGCGTGATTCTGATTTATTCTCGATTGTTCTTGTTCTTTTATCTTTTGTGTTGGGGTTTATTTAAATTTTTTTTTTGTCTTGTTGGCAGTTGCTGATGTGCTATTGTGGAGAAAATGGTGTGGCGGCGTTGTGATGCTAGCCTCGGCAACTACGTTTTGGTACTTATTCGAAAGAGCTGGTTATAATTTCTTGTCTTTTGTGGCCAATGTTTTATTGCTCCTTGTTGTTATTCTCTTCTTCTGGGCTAAATCTGCTTCCCTTCTCAACAGGTATTTCCCATTTCTAACACCCTCTTTAATCTTTTCTTTACTTGCTGTTTATTTCATTATTCTTATTATCTTCACCGTTTCTATGTATTCCATTGCATGCTATGTTGGGCAATACTCGCACCCAGAAAAAGAAAAACTTTTAATTCTTTTTTATGAGAACAGCATATGAGGATATGTTAGAGGAAAAAAGAAATTAAAAATTTATCAGAGATTCTTTTTGAGAAGGGAAAATGGAAGTTATGGTATCGTTTTGGTTTGGGTTTGATGTGGAAAGTGATTGTGCTTTCTGATGCAGACCTTTGCCGCCACTTCCTAATTTGGAAATTTCTGAGAAGACTGTTGGGAAGGTTGCAGATGAGTTACAAGTATGGATCAATTTTGTATTATCGATTGTACATGACATTGCCGTTGGCAGAAATTTGAAACTTTTTCTTAAGGTTAGGCTTTGACTTTTTATTAGTACAATTTCCGTTGGCTTGGTATAAAACTTTAAAATGTCTGCATTTCAAAATTTGTAACATATCTGCTTGCTCAGGTTGCTGTTTGCTTGTGGTTAGTATCATTCATTGGTAGTCTCTTCAACTTCCTCACTCTGGTCTATATTGGTGAGTTTTATGAGACCCTAGTCGTTTCTATAACAGTGATGATTCCTTTAACTTTATTCATATATGCTTATTTCATTAGATATGTTCTGCAGGGGTTATTCTTAGTCTATCAGTTCCTGTAGCATATGATAAGTACCAGCACCACATTGATGAGAAGCTTTCTGTAACACACAGAATCATTCAAACACACTACAGGAAAATTGATGAAACAGTATTAAGGAAGTTTCCTTTGCCCTCAAACAAGGAAAAGAAGATGCAGTAGGTAATTTACTTCCTTCTCTCTCCCATTTTGCTTATCATTTTAGTCTAAATAACTGAGATGCAAGCATTTTTGACAATGTTTGGGTTGCATTAATTTGGATTATGAAACTGTTTAATTATTCTGTGTTAAACTGAATGCTTATAGTCTCATACCACATATTAATTATGGCTCCAATAAATGCATATCTAATGACCTGTTACCTACCCAGGAAAAGTTATGTAACTGCCAAATCAGGGAATTAGCGTATTAAAGATTTAATGATCCTCTGAAGTTTCATCCCTCAAGCATGGCATGCTCTCTAGATTCACATCTTTGGGGAAGATGTTGCTCTTTTACAATTTAAGATTATAGTTGTTTCTAGTCATTTTGGTTTATTTGGGGCTGTTTATGATTTGCCTGGATTTCTCCCTCCTGCTATAATTGATCTCTAATTTATGCATAGTGCCTGATCTTAAAATCGGAAGTTCTTTGCATGAGAATGTGATTTTAATTTGAAGGCCTATTCTAAAATGCATTTATTTTACTAATTCTGAACTGGTTTCTTCTTCAGTTGGTTTTTGTTGTAATTAATCAATAAATGCATTTTATGCTTATTCGGCGTGTCTGCTAAATGTATAAAACTTTCTCCAACATGTAGATAAAATCTGCTGGTTTAAGTTGTCTCGTAATGCTTACTCATTGAAGCCTGCAAATATGTTCTTGGTTTGAGCACATGGACATACTTTTAGGAGGGCATCTAACTTAACATTTTGGATTTTACAGGATAAAGTATGAACAATGATCAAACAAAAGAGTTTGTAGTCTATTATCCATGCAAAGTGAACCCTCATACTTTGCTTTATATTGAACTAATGCTTGGAAAAATAGGTCATTATAATATCACAAGACATTCGCCTTTCACTATTTAAGAGTTTTTAGATGTTGAATATCATTATTTTTATCTTCAAAATTATCCGTGTTTTCTATGGGAATTGGGATGTGATCCCTAAATGAAAAAAAAAACTGTAATGTTTACTTGAGCATACTTGCCCAAAAGTCAGTTTATCCACTTGGAAAACCTGCCAAGTGAGCTTATTATCAAACTGTGATTTGTCTTGATAGAAAAATCATGTACTTTCATTGTTTCTAAATTGAATAATTTTAGCAACAAGTCTTCTAGGCACATGATGTCCAGAATAATTAATGTTAAAATGAAACTCGCAGGTAAAGGCAGGCAAGGTTTGAGACCTTTTGATGTGATAAGCATAGACACTGATTTTACTAGTAGCTTTGCTTGCTGCACTTCTAAGACAAAATGCTAAATTATTAAGCCATTATTGTCTTGTTTGGATTGGCTTGTTGCCTCACCTTGCCCTTCTTTGTTTATCACTCTCTCTCTCTTTCTCTCTCTAAGGCATATGTACTCTTATTTTATTCAGGGTGTTCAGGTGGTTAAGTCTGTGACCAGGTGCATAGGATTGGGTTTTCCAAGATATGAAGCTTTTGATTTCTTTTTTGCTCGGATGCCATCAGTTTTCCTATGCTATTCGAGTTACCTATCTTTAGGAGTAGGACTAACCTTTATAACTTATGTTTTTCGGAGAAGATTCAACTTTTTCTTGTTTTTCCCCGTTGCCGGAACCTGTATTCTTTGTTTAGTCTTCGCCTGCAGCTTATACCTTTGTGGTTATATTTTACCTGTTCATTTGGGTTGGACAAAAATATCTTCCACTGGTGGAGGAAACTTGCATATGGCAATGGAATCCAAGCTTATACAATATTTTCCTATATTAGCCTTTGATCATCTCTATCTAGTGAAGGAGAGGTTGAGTTGTTGCATGGTGCAGGTTTTATATTCTGGGAGAATTATGTAGTGTGTGTGTGCGCACCCATAGGCGTTATTTAAGGGATCATTGATCACTTCATCACGATGTCTCCGGCACTCCGGTGCAGGCCTGGACGTTATTTTAACAAATAAAGGCTTTCGGACCTTTCCATTTCAACCACTTCATTTGAGGGTGAATTTCCAGGGCCATGATGGTACCGTAAAAGATTGATCTGTTTTCCAAAGGTTTGCTTTTCCACCCCCTTGGAGTTCCCCTTCCTAACAATGAATAAGCCTTCGTTATTTCAAATCCTCTTTCCCAATGAAAATAACTTGTAATTAAATCATTGTCCCATGCTGTATTGAGACATGTATTTATTAATAAAATTGCAAAAGATGGCTTGTGAAGCGGCTGTCAGATCTTAGAAGTGAAATACCTGTCAAACAGCTTGTAAAATCGAATTTAACAACTCTACATTTCAACTATTATGGCTACAAAATCATGTTCCAGCAGAAGCATCAAATTCTTGATATTTACCAAGGAAGGCAGAAGTTATGCAACCCTGGGAACTGGAATACTGCCTGAATGAGGTAATGTCACTGAACGCAACAGTTCCAGTGTTAGCTGATGCCTGCACGAGAAAGAGATTCATAAGGACATGAAATAACGAAGGCTATTTCTCATTGCAAGTTTGTCCTAGATCAATAAGTCTATATTGGCTGTTAACACTTTTCAGTTCAGTTGACTATGAATCAAGAATCCTGTACAATAATTCCAACTTGATAAGCACAAGTGTTCCTCAGTTTTAGTAACTAAGTCTCAATTTCACAAACATGAGTCTAGTTCGGTTAAACTTAAAGATATTTCATTAGGAAGCTCAAATTAGATTAAGCACCTGCACCAAGAAACATCCAATGCGAGAACTGGACTATAGCCAGGAGAAATTCATTGGTAATAGGGATTTGTGGAGGAAGTTAAAGCCTTAGCTAATAGTAAGCCCACTGTTGCTTGCATGCCAAGAATAGCAGCCCACATTCCTAGAAGATTCGTAACTATTCCATTTTTCATGCTTTTCACAACATCAGCACGAGGAAGAGCCTGAAATCCCAAGGGAAAAATTATGATTTCCTGAAAATTGAATAAGGAAACAGGCATTAATCAAAGCTCAAATAAGCCCTGAATTTGGACAATGCCTAACCATAATCTAATCTTCCAAACTCAAAAGCAATCCTACACATAATAAGCAACTAAATCAAGATGAAGCTCAAATAGATCACTAAAAATCTAGGGATCACATACTTTAAACTATTAACACAATTTCAACTCACAATACCATTGAAGGATCATTAGCAGTTTTCTTGAGTTTCTCAGAAAGCCGAATATACCCACAAAGGACCAAAAAACTAATATGAATGCAGCCACAATTCCGCCGGCAGTAGCATAAAAAGTAGCAGGTGATGTGATTTTCCCAGTAATAACAACAGAAAATGAAAGTATCACCGCTGACACTACAGAGCATACCAACTGTCCCCAAAACCCTAAATTGCCCAATCGCTTAAAGTACCTCGACCGCTCGACGTGCTCTCTAACCTCTTCAAAACCTGCACCAGTTCGTTTAAAAATCCTTATCCTAACTCATTTAAAAAAAAAAAAAACCTTCATTTACAGTCTACTAGAAGCAAAACCCCACTAAACAGTAAACAATCCAAAATTAACCCACAGCATTTCTACTAGTTCTACTGTTGTAGCTGTTATCTTTGTTTTATGTTTCTGATTACATGAACAATGCTGAATCCTGGTTACATTTCTTCTGTTTTTTCAAGATTTTTTTAACTACCCAGAATATAATATATCACAAAAATTTTACCAAGCTAAACCAAAGAGCAGAAACCCAATTGGGTAAAGGTGAAACTTAAACACCAACTAAGTCAGACCCAATTAAATACTAGAGTTTTTGACCCAGTTAAAATGGGCAAAATCTGATATTAAGAAAAGGAAAGTGAGGGGTTACATGAGCTAGCTTTGCCTTGTCAGTATCTTCTAGGGGAGGTAAAACTAGGCGAAACTGGGGAAGAAGAGACTCTGCTCATAAAAAGCAAAGATCTTTTATCATCGAAAGGATCGTAGGAAGCGAAGAAGGACAAGAGAGGCTTTGGTTTCAGAGTTTTTAGTGAAGTAAGAAAATTTGGAGGAGAGAAAGAGAGAGAGCGGTGGTCGGAGACCGTACGGCTGGAGGGAACCCACTGCCACCGCACAAATGCCGGAGCGAGCTGCCGGCAACAATAGCATTTGCATGACGATTAGATGGAGTCGTTTATCGATTTGTAAAGTTCATGGTAAAATTTTGTACAAAAAACAAAAAAGAGGTTCACGATAATTAAATAAAATTAAAAAATTATGTTTTGAAAATTCAATTAACGAAATTATATAGTATACAAAATATTAACGGATGAAATCTAGGTGATTGTTGCATGATGGAAATTTACCATGATTTTTAATTAAAAATTTCATTTTTAATTTTATATTTTATTTGATGATATAAATGATTTTTTTGGGCGTTTGATATATATGAAGATGATTTGTAAATAATTTACCTTTATTAAATTAGAAAGTGTGAAAAATGTTAAGGGCGTGTTTGGAAGTAGACTTTTGAAAATTTGAAGAATTTTAAAATGTTAGTATTTTAAAATGCATCTGTTCAAAATAATAAAATTTATAATTACATTGTTTAGATTATTATTTTTTAAAAAATAATTTTAAATATTGAAATTTAATGAGATAAAAAATATTATAATAGATAAATAATGCAATTAGAGATAGAAAAAGTAAAATATTTTTAAAAAATAGGTAATATAAGTGTAATTAGATTTGTAAAAATGTGTACATATTACTAATAATATAAAAAATTAAAAAAATTATAATAAGTTTTTTTAGTTAAAATTAAAGAAAATACAAATTATGTAAAAAAAATAGTAAATGTTTACTTCTTACAATAATAACAAAAAATTATACAAATTTCACCCCATTATGTGAAATTTGAAAAAAAAATTGAGCCTCCAAAAATTCTTTATTCAAAATTTAAGAATTTTTACAATTTCAATTTTTATTTGTCAAACAAATTAATTTTATTTTAAAAATTTAAAAATATTTTTACAAATGAAATTTCTTCTTAAAATTTTTCATTCAAACACATCTTAAAAGTGCAGTACTACTTTTATAAAACAAAAATCATGAAAAGTATAGAAATTTGTTGTAATTGGTTTAAAACCAAATATGCATTAGTTTCTAAAGAAAAGTATGCCTCCAATCCCAGTGAAGTACAAAATTGTTGAAATGTATTAATATATTATTGAATTGAATTTTATAGTCTAAATTATTTGTGAAAGGAGTTGAGAATTGAGACCCTGTTTTGTCCAACTGTTAACTTGGCTGAAGTGTTAATAAGCCAAAACTCAATCAACATTCACAAGCTCAACAGCCGTATTAAGGTTTTGTGTGGGGTTGAAGGGTGGCTATTTTTACAGTACAAAGTGATTATCAAGTGTTCATGCAAACAAAACAATCAATCATTGTTAAGAATAAACCATCAAGGCAAGATGCTATCTAGCATATGAAAGTGAAAGGGAAGGGCTAGCAAAAAAGGTGAAAAGGAAATAGAAGATAAGTTAAGGTTTAAGGTAGATCGGTCGGGGAATTCGCTGGCCAATCTTTTTTACAAAAGAAAAATGATGAAAAGGAGCCAGGCAGGCTTGGATTTCGACTTTCACAGTACTAAACAACAAATTCCTGTCCCTGCTGCTGTTTGTTACTTCTTTTTTTTTTTTTTATAAAAAACATCTTAATTTGAAGATAAAGAGAAGATCTTGTGAGTGTTAAAACCATGAAAATTGATTTCCTGATGCAGATGGAACACAAACCTTCGTCTACCAAGGTCACTTGAATTTTCTAAAAAGTTCATTGAAGTTCAAAGTTTTATCCAATCAGACACCAGTTTTAATTTCACTCTCTTACTGTTTTTGGAGCCAAAAGAAGTTTTGTTGTGTTGCGTAAAAGTTGCGTGTTTCCAAACAGACGGAGAAATGTTCACTCGGAAACATAACCCAAATAAAAATTGCAGGGCAAATAAACTTTGGGTATGATTTTCCCTCCTTATTGACTGCCGGTTTATAATTTGACAACTTTAAAATACAATACAATAGTATAATATAAATAAAAATAATATAATTTAAAATTTTAATAAAAATTTAAATAAATTTAATAAAATAAAAATATATATTTTATATTTTTATATAAATATAAATTTTAATACATAACTTCGTATAAAATATAATATAAATATATAAATTATTAATATTTTATATAAAATAAATGTACGAATTATCAAATTTACTGTCAAACGATCAACCACTCTACTTCAACTGTCCCCATGCATATAAGTTTTTTGATATTTTCCACCTTCTAATTGCACTTCTTTTATGGCTAATCCTTGTTTCAAGTTGTGGGCTGGGCTGATGAATTTTTGGTTAGGCTGCCAATGGTTGGGGACCAAAGGCAAAATGGTTCTTAATTTCTAACCGAATATGGGTAGGAAGCTGGCAAATTTTACAAAAAGTTAGCAGTGAATACTTCTGAATATGCTTTTTATGCTATCTGTCTCTCTCCCAATTAAATAATTTAAAGAACAAACAAAAATGTTAATTGTAAAAATGCAAACACCAGCTCGTGACTCTGATAAAACATATATAGAGATTCGAATTTAATGTATTTCTTTAACTTTTTTTTTTTGAAATAATATGAAGTGTACAACTCATTTAGGAAGGTGATGAGTCCTTTCACCAGAGTTTACATTTTTACAATTGAGTTCAATCATAGACGGTAATTTCAACGAGATGAAAAGACTCGCACTGGCTCCCAAATGGAGCCTGAGCAATCATACAACTTTCAACTGTGCAGCTACAATGGGATGAATCATAACCCACTTTTTTTAAACAAGGGATTATTGTTCTTTATATTAAGGTAAGGTTAGTTGCAGCCATTATGAAAGGAATAAGGTGGAGAATGTGGAGTAGATTTGGCCGAGGATGTTACAGAATTTTCTAGTGTGAACAAGGTTAATTGTAGAATGATTATGAAGTAGACTGCTAGAGTTGTGGATGACAGCAGACCTGAACCAGAATGCTCGTACCATACCTCTTGATTTGATAAAATTTTCTTGAATCAATGCCAAAGAATCGCCCGTGACAGCAGTCGGTTTAGTCTTTTGTTTTCTTAACTAATGACATCTTTCACGTGGAGACAAGCGACTGTCCAAATTTTATCTTTCCCTTTTTCTTTTCTCTCTTTTTGCACTTTTGTTCCCATATACTGGAAAAAATTTACATAATTAACATGGCAAAAACCAATGCCCCTACAGCTTTTAGCCACGGTAAAGTATTGGAAAGTGGAAACCAGCACAAAAGTGAGAGATGGATCAATGACAATAATCAATAGAAGGGTACGCTAAGGGATCCTCTGCAACCTGATGAACCTCAACTCAATTGGCTGTCTTGTAGTTACAGATAGGAGATTCCTCTCTTTGCCTTTTCTTCCCCACCTAATTGTCGCAGCGAAATCTCAGTTTACTTAAAATTGAGTTAGTGCAACGTCAGCCACTTTTATTATCTCTATACCATGATAAAGCTAAGTTCAACACATCATTGTATCAACTCCACTTCTAGTAAGCAAGAACAGACTCTTTGTTTCTCTGCAAACCTCTGCATTGCTCTCTGCAATAAAGACCAACTTTTCCTTCAATTTTGTGGCAATTATTATCTAATCTGCTGTTTAGTTGTGTTCCTTTCATTAAATCAGTGGCATACTTTTGCTCCATACCCATTTCTTATCTTTTTATTACCAGCTCCTTCCTTGATTCTAAATCCTCAGCATAGATTTGGTAAACAAAACAAGTATGACTGCAGTTGGTTACCATCTCTCTCTCTGCTACCCTGATCCTGAGTCCCTGACTCAATATGAATATGCAGCATGAGATGCAAAATCAGCCAAAGAACTAGAAACCATGGGTTTCAACAAGAGCATTTTCTATTGCTTCACCTTTCTTCTTCTTCTTCTTCTTCAACTTCTTCCTCTTCTAGTTCCTTCAATAGCTCTCAACACTGATGGGGCCCTTTTGCTTTCTTTCAAATATTCTATCCTCAGTGACCCATTCTCAGTCTTGCAAAGCTGGAACTATGATGATGAAACGCCATGTGCGTGGAATGGAATAACCTGCACTGAAATTGGCATTCCAGGAACACCAGACATGTTAAGGGTTACCAGGTTGGTCCTCCCAAATAGCCATCTTCTTGGTTCAATTTCAGCGGACCTTGGCCTAATCCAGCACCTTCGCCACTTAGATCTCACAAACAACCTTTTTAATGGAACTTTGCCAAGCTCTATCTTTAACTCCACTGAGCTTCAGGTGCTGTCTTTGTCCGGCAATGTCATCTCTGGTCATTTGCCCGAGTCTATTGGTAGCATGGTTAGTATTCAGCATTTGAATCTCTCTGATAATGCCTTGTCTGGGAAGGTACCCGAAAATTTGACTGCTTTGCAAAACTTGACTGTTGTCTCTTTAAGGAGTAACTATTTTACGGGTAATGTACCTAGCAGATTCAATTCAGTTGAGGTACTGGATCTGTCCTCAAATCTGCTTAACGGATATCTCCCTTTAGATTTTGGTGGTGGTAATTTGCGTTATTTGAACTTATCTTACAACAAGATTTCAGGGTCAATATCACCAGAGTTTACAAAGCAACTTCCTCAAAATGCCACCATTGATCTCTCATTCAATAATTTAACTGGGGCTATTCCAGAGTCGCTATCTTTGCTTAGACAAAAAACGGAGTCCTTTTCAGGTAATGTTGATCTATGTGGGAAACCGTTGAAAAACCTTTGCTCAATTCCTTCAACACTTTCAACTCCACCAAATGTGTCCCAATCCATATCACCAGCAATTGCAGTGATACCAAAGTCAATAGACTCAACCCCAGGAGAACCAAATAGTAACATTCAAAACCAAGCACGAGGCAGTCTAAAGCCAGGCACAATAGCAGCAATAGCTGTTGCCGACTTAACTGGTATATCCATTCTTGGCATGATCATTCTTTATGTCTACCAACTCAGGAAGCGAAAACATCTCAATCAAAGCACCACAACAAGCAACCTCGAGAAGAAACCAGACGTCCCTGTCTCAAAGGCGCAAGTGGAATCTGGAGCAATAATGCCATCATCTTGTTCATGTATAAAGTTAAAACTCATAGAGACGTCGGACACTACCAGTTCTGATAGTGACCAGGACGAGAAAAGCCAAGTCATCAATGTGAACCCAACTGAGGCGTACCAGAAAGGAGGCAAGCTCGTGACAGTGGATAGGCAAACTGAGCTGGAGTTGGAGACTTTGTTGAAGGCATCAGCTTATATTTTGGGGACAAGTGGATCGAGCATTGTCTACAAGGCTGCGCTAGAGAACGGGACTGCATTTGCGGTAAGAAGGATTGGAGAGAGTTCAGTCGAGAGGTTAAAGGATTTTGAAAGCCAAATTAGGATTATAGCCAAGTTAAGGCACCCAAATTTGGTTAAGATTTGTGGGTTTTACTGGGGAGATGATGAAAAGCTTGTTATCTACGACTACGTCTCCAATGGCAGCCTCGCTTGCTCCAGTTACAGTAAGTTCCAATCATGTGCACGGTAGCAGTAAACCATTTCTTTTCACTAAAATGCGCTGCATTACTGTTGCATGTTAGTAATATTATATTATGCCTTCATCTTTCAAAGGATATGTTCACGTGCATGATAGGCAAGTTAATAGACCTTTTGCTAAAATACGCCTGTGCAATATGATCCGTTGGATTTAGTTTCTGGGGCATATGTACGTTTTGTCCAACGGCGTATGACCCCTGATAATGAAGTCTAGGATGTCTCATTGGCAGTGGATTGGATGGTAGCCCGTAAAAGATGGTAATAAAATCTTTAATAAAGTAATAACTAGGCAATAAATAATAAAGAAAATGCATAATACGCCAAGGGCATATGTCACTTTCTTTAGAAAAACAGATGCCTTAGCCATATTGGACTGACTCGAACTGTTTTTTGAACACCACACATCTTTTAGAGATTTGGGGAGACATTTCCAGCATGGGATTTGTGTGATAATCCTTGGGTGTGGTCTAAGTTTGCTTGAAACTTGTAGCAGTTCGTTCTCTCTCTGTTTTTCTTTTTTCTTTTTCCTGTCGAACTTGACAAGTTGGTTTGTAATTTAAGAATGTGATTCTTTTTTGGGTGTTTTCTGAGTGAAGGAAACAAAACTTAAGACAGAATTTAACCCCTCATTGAATTGACCCAATGCTCGAGGGCGAGGCTCCATCTGAATTCAAAACGGATAGACTTGGCTCCTCCCTTCTAAGAAATGATGGCACTAACGTTCGGTTCTTTTTTCCTCATAACATTTGAGAGATTCAGCGGCAGTGCTATTTCTGTGCGTGTCTTGGAGGCTTGCTTTCCAACTAGGACGTTGAATTTTAACCATGAAAATATATAGTTGTAATCAATCACTTTACTTGCATATGAAGTTTTGAATCCAAAAACCAGACCCAATTTGGGTTACATTCAAAGGATTAAAGGAATCTTCTCTTTTTTTTTATTGGAGAAAGGGAAATTTCAACCCCGTTCTTGTTTTGTCACTTATCATAATGGCATATTTTGTTTTTGTGATAACAGGAAGATCAGGCGCATCATCACCTTGCCATTTACCTCTTGAAGCCCGTCTCAAAATAGCAAGAGGAGTGGCTCGGGGACTGGCCTACATTCATGACAAGAAACAAGTGCATGGCAACATCAAACCAAGCAACATCCTGTTAAACTCCAATATGGAGCCCTTAATAAGTGACCTGGGACTAGACCGCCTTATCTCGGGCAACTCCAGCTACAAACATAACAATTCATCAGCAAGACTTTTAAGCAGCCAACGGTCCACAGTTTCTCGTAATGGCCCACCTGATCCCCCAACCAGTCCAAGCCCCCATGCGCCTGCCACAGCTGCCAGCTCTTCCACAGGAACATCAACGCCATATCAAGCACCAGAGTCATTAAAGAACCTCAAACCAAACCCCAAATGGGATGTCTACTCATTTGGCATAATTTTGCTTGAGCTTCTCAGTGGGAAAGTGTTGTCAACCCGGGAGTTGGCGCATTGGGCGGTGCCATCAGGTTCAGTTTGGGAAGAAAAGAACCGGGCAGTTCGGTTGGCTGACATGGCGGTAAGGGGTGACATAGAAGGCAGGGAAGAAGCCATGCTGACATGTTTTAGATTAGGGTTTAGTTGTGCATCATTTGTGCCACAAAAGAGACCGTCCATGAAAGATGCTGTTCAAATCCTAGAAAAAATCCCTTCAGCCTCTTCATGCTAGTGAAATCATGCATTTGGGTCCTTCATTGTTCTTGTTGGCGATTTTTTCCCTCTTTATTAAATCCTTTGTTGAATTGAATGCTTTGCGTACAGAGCCAGCCGGACAGATTGTCGACGGCCGACAAAAAATGTTCCCTGTTTGACCCATTAATCAAATGCATGTCGAGTAGTCACTGTTTATTACTATATATATAAGATGTCTTAAATTTTAGGATGAGTATTGAATTTAAAGTCAATTTGATAATAGATAAAGTGATTTTTATTATATTTATGTATTCACGTTATTTTAAATTTAACAAATATAAAATTTATTTTATCTCCACTTTAATATCTCTCACGTGTAAAGATGTGGCGTAAACTTCACATATAAGAGAATAACGACTTATCATGAAAGAGCTAACAAAAAAGAATAATTTTTACTCTGATATCATGTTAAATTTTAAAATAAATATTAAAATTAAAATTAATTAATAAAAATATTTATGTATCAAAAATACTTTAAAGTTAACAGATTTATAATTTATTTTGTCTCCACTTTAATAAGATACTTTATTAATTTTATAATCTAAAATTAAATGGATATGGTTTTCTTTTCGTATGGATCATAATTGATGGATTGTTTGGTTTCTCGTATATAATTTGGATTGTCCTAGAACATCATTTTGGAAATGGACTGAATTGGATCCTGATTCCTGAACCATCTCAAACTCATAACCCAAAAGGCCAAAACCGAACGTCATTTTTAACTTAACAAAACGACATTTAAAACTTTTTTTTTCGATAGAAATATAATCAATCGAGTTTAAATTAATATAATATTAAATTTGAATTTGAATTTGATATTAAATTTAACATTCGAAACTCGACTCGAATTCAATCGAATTTTTTATTAACTCAAGCTCGACTCGAGATAAAAATTAAATTATTTGAGCTTATTCGATTAGGTTCGATTAACATATAAAAATAAAATCGATTCTTATATTTAATAAAAACTCGATTATTTATACTTAATCTTGAACTCAAGTTCAAAAATTTTATCAATTAAAATAATTAAAATATATTAAAATATAAAAATTTGATTACGCTCACGAATTGCTTAAATCGTGTATAAAAATATTCAAATTCGATTCGATTGATAAATCAAATTACTCAAGTTTAAGTTAAATAATAATTGAAATGAATTTAAATTTTATTTAAATTAAATCTAAATAACTTATTAATATTAATTTATGATTTATTTCCCTAAGTCTCGTAAACAGGCTCCACTGAGAAACTTCGCCGACATCACGCAAACAGCAAACTGCAGTGCATCATCATTTTGCTTCAAACTCCTACCAAACCAAGTCTTATGTTATTCTACAAACGACTAACAAAACAAATCCAAATTCCAGGAAATCTTGAGACAGACATCCCTATTGCACCACCACAGGACGGCGTCGTCCCACCAGATTGTCAACCGCACCCTTCACCATCCGCCTCAACGCCAAGCTCAACTTGGAGCCTGCTTGGGAGCCAGATCACTACAACATCGACAGCCGCAAGGTCTGCGGATGGGGCCCGGAACGTCGTTCACCAATGCGGTGAGGGAGCAGCTAGGGAACGAATGCGTATTACAAAGGGGAGAGCGATACGTCGTCCCATCACGACGTATGAGAGTATGGTGAGGAGAAGTAAAGAGAGTTTGAAGAGTAAAGGGAAAATCAAGGCTCTGCTTCGATACGTCGTCCCATTACGAAGCTCAAGCGTACAAGGGAAATATCGAGAGGTTGATTCTTAGAGTGCGTGAGGATCTTGGCTAGAGAAGGCAAAAAACCTGAAAATGATAGATTTTGATCCGATCAAATCTCTTATGGTCGATTTTTTTTTTAAATTGAATATTAGGTCGGATGAGTGGTGTAGAAAAAATATGGAGTCGAATTTTAGACAAATCCGATCTTACTTAATTTGATTTATATATATTATTTTTTTAATTTTATATTTAATTTTATATATTTTTATATATTTAATTTTATATTTATATTAAAAATAATATTTTATATTTAAAAAATAATATTTTATTAATTTCGAGTCAAATCGAGTACGATTTTATATAATATCGAATCGAATCAATTTGGATATAAAAATAAAAAAAAATTTATCATATTGGATCAGGTTTAAATTTTGTATATTTAAAGTAAAATTAAATTCAAAATGAACAAAAATCTACTTTGACTTTATCCGTTGCCATTACTAATCTTGACTTGCCGTTTTGTATTACTAATTTCTAACATTGATGCCTCCTTGCTCAAATAATACTAGTTGATTTAGACTACTCCAATAAAGATTATTGGGTTAGTCTAAATCAACATTAAATAAAGAGTATCGGTAAGGTCAAGTGATATAAAAAAATTTAAAATTGAGTTTTAGATAAATCCGATCATACCTAATTCGATATATATATAAATTATTTTTTAATTATTTATTTAATTTTATATATATTTATATATATTTTATATATTTATTTAATTTTGTATTTGTATTAAAAATAATATTTTATATTTAAAAAATAATATTTTATTAATTTTAGATCGAATCGGATTGAATATGATTTTATATAATATCAGATCGAATCGATTCGGATATAAAAATAATAAAAAAATTCATCAAATCAAATCAAATTTGAATTTTATAAATTTAAAATTAAGTTAAGTTCGAAACGAATAAAAATCTATTCTAACATAATTCGTTGCCATCACTAATTTTGGTTTGCCGTCGCTTCCAGTCATTCGGGTTTTGCATTACTAATTTCTAACATTGATGCCTCCTTGCTCAAATAATACTAATTGATTTAGACTAGTCCAATAAGGATTATCAAGTTTAAATTTCTCATTGATTTGGCAGATTGTTCTTGATCGCAAAAATTTTTCCAATTCTATAAAACTCCTAAGCTTTGTAGCTATGACGTTGAATTGTAATACATCCTCCATGTTAATTAGGCAAGCAAAATCAGTAAAATTCAAATCAGTGTCTTTGTTTTTGCATGCATAGCCATAATTTGTCGGGTCATCTTAATTTTGAATCTTTTTATTATATTTTACTTTATTTTCTTAATTAGGATCATGAATTACCCTGCGAAGATCATCAATTGAAAAAGAATAAGAGATAAAATCTCAATATTAATACGTCATTTGACGCCTCTCAAACTACCGAAAGGATGATTCTTTGTCGAAACAACACCGGACGACAACGGCGCTTCTTTTTTAACAATCTCCATGTTTATTTCTTGCAATCAACCGCACTTTTTCAAATACTTGGACCTTAAAATTTACTTTTTATACAAACAAATATATATAATTTAAGAGGAAAAAACAATTAAATTAAAAGAGAAATAGTTAAGTTTGGATTTGGATTTGGGAGACGAAAATCTTTTATGTTTGTTAATATGATGGTTCAACGAGAAGCTTTCTGTATGATTTTCAGAGAGAAAGAGTTGGCTAAGCGTAAAAAGAATTGGACGAAATTAAAATGGAATTTAATATAAAAATAAAGAAAATTCAGTTGACGTAATGGATTTGTACATATAGTAATACAATGATGATGTGGCTTAAATGCCCCGTTGAAGGGAAAAAGTTTAAAACAACCCCTACTCAAGAATAAAGATTTTAATTGATATGGGTACGGGAAAAAACAAAAGATAAACTATCACAAAGAAAAACAATATTTAATGAAAATTTCAACTTTTCCCTCTCAACGTTAAACTTCATCTTCAATTTACAAAAAAAAAATTTGGTGAATTTTTTTTTGTATAAAGGTCATATATTAGAAATAAATAAAAAATTATAAATATATAAAATTTAAATATCAAATTTAAATATATCGTGAATAAATAAATAATAATTTTGTATTCAAAATTTTGGTAAATTTTTTCATGTCAATTTGATAATCTAAAGTTATCATCAATTAAAAATGATAACGGTTAAAATCAAATTAAATTAAATTAAGTTTTTTAAAATAATACATAATATTATAAAATTATAAAATTTAATTTGAATTAAATTTTTTTAAATCAATTAGATTTAAATTAAATTTTACCTTGTTTGATTTATTGAATTTTAAATTTTATTTTTTTATATATTATTTTAATGAAAAATTTAATATATTTAAATATATTTATATATAAATTAATTATTTTTAATTATAAAAATTTTAAAAATAAAAAAACTTAATAAAAATATATAATTTGATTTGATCGATAAATTTTTACATTTAAATTCAAGATTTAATCTAAATTTAATATATATATATTTGATATCTATTTTTAAATTAAATCAAATAAAAAAATTAATTCGAAGTTAATCAAGTAATATACATTCAAATAATATTTTTTTTTCCAACCTTACCCTCAATCCTCGAGCCGTAGAAAAATAAAAAAAAATTTTAGATTAGGTTAATTAATTAGTACTTCTTTGCTTGCATATTCGAAGCCATTGTCGTATTGTTTTTGGAAAAAGAAAAAATCTACCCCCCACTCTCTTCCTCTTCGCGTAGTTACACGGTCCCCATTTTCCCGCTCCACATAGACGCTCGCGCTGCTGTTCTTAACCCCTCGATTGTATCTCACCAAACGTAACAAAGTATAAATTCCCACTCTCCCTCTTTCATTCCTCGCTGCAACTTCCTCGCCATTCGCCCCCGGCCGGAGAAAACGTCTTCAATATTACCTCCCCATCTTATCTTTACACCATGGCTTCTCTTAAAATCGCTCCTCTCAAAAACCCATCCCTTTCCCTTTCCTCTAAATCCCGCCTTCCTTACGCATTTTCTGCCACCTTCCCTAACGACCTCCGCTTTTCACGCTCCTCCCATTTGCATGGCCGTTTCTTAATCGTAACCGCTTCCGCCGCATCTTTCTCCAACAAGCCCACCGTGCTTGTCGCTGAGAAACTCGGTGAAGCCGGTGTAACTCTGCTCAAGCAGTTCGCCGACGTGGACTGCTCTTACAACCTCTCTCCCGAAGAGCTCTGCACCAAGATCTCGCTTTGCGACGCCTTGATTGTGCGCAGCGGAACCGAAGTCAACCGCGAGCTCTTTGAATCTTCTGGCGGGAGATTGAAAGTCGTTGGTAGAGCTGGTGTTGGGATCGATAATGTGGATCTGGCCGCCGCCACCGAGCACGGTTGTTTGGTCGTAAATGCGCCTACTGCTAATACCGTTGCAGCAGCTGAGCACGGGATCGCCCTCTTGGCGGCCATGGCTAGGAACGTGGCTCAGGCTGATGCTTCCATCAAGGCAGGTGAGAACTGATTTGATTTTTTGGTGCTTTTTATATCCTTTGTGGATTGCTTAAATCTGAATTTTATGTTTAGATTTTTTTTGCTATGCTTAAATGTAAGAAAGGTTTATGGGGAAGAATTATGGGCGTATTTTTTAATTATGTTAAGGTGGAAATTCTATATGTATTATTGATGATGTAGGGAAGTGGCAGCGGAACAAATATGTGGGTGTATCCCTTGTTGGGAAAACACTTGCTGTCTTGGGATTTGGAAAGGTTGGATCAGAAGTAGCTCGGCGAGCCAAGGGACTTGGCATGCATGTTATTGCTTATGATCCTTATGCCCCGGCTGATCGTGCTCGTGCTATAGGTGTAGAGCTAATTAGTTTTGAGGAAGCAATAGCGACTGCAGATTTTATTTCTTTGCACATGCCTCTCACTCCTGCTACTTCCAAGATGCTTAATGATGAGACTTTTGCTAAGATGAAGAAAGGCGTTCGCATTGTTAATGTTGCCCGTGGGGGAGTGATTGATGAAGAGGCTCTTGTGAGGGCATTGGATGCTGGAATTGTAGCTCAGGCTGCTCTTGATGTTTTCACTGATGAGCCACCACAACAGGACAGCAAGTTGGTACGGCATGAGAGGGTTACTGTGACTCCACATCTTGGTGCTAGTACAATGGAGGCTCAGGTGAGTTAATCGTTAAATGCATATATCCTTGTTTCTTCTTTTTTTTTTTTTTGAATGATATTATTGAATATTGGCATGGTTTTCAGGAAGGAGTGGCCATTGAAATAGCTGAAGCTGTTGTTGGAGCCTTGAAAGGAGAACTTGCTGCAACTGCAGTCAATGCACCAATGGTTCCTGCTGAGGTACAAAGAGTTATATTAGTTTTGCCATCTATTTTTCTTCATTACTTTCCTGCTGATATAGACTTCACTTTCGCAGTCATTCATGATATCTTATGTCACTTATCTGTTCACTTCTCCTGCAGGTTCTAACAGAGTTGAAACCATATGTCGAACTTGCTGAGAAACTTGGGAGGTTGGCTGTCCAATTGGTAGCAGGTGGAAGTGGTGTTAAAACTGTGAAAGTATCATACGCTTCCTCTAGAGCCCCTGATGACTTTGACACAAGGTTGCTCCGTGCGATGATCACCAAGGGCATAATTGAACCCATTTCCAGTGTTTATGTGAATCTGGTTAATGCTGATTACACTGCTAAACGGAGAGGACTGCGGATTACGGAGGAATGCATCCATTTAGATGGTTCACCCGAGAGTCCACTGGAGTCCATCCAAGTTCAGATTGCCAATGTGGAATCAAAATTTGCCAGTGCCATTTCAGAATCTGGTGAGATTAAGGTTGAAGGTCAGGTGAAGGATGGAATTCCCCATTTGACAAAGGTAGGGTCATTTGAAGTTGATGTGAGCTTGGAGGGTAGTATTATACTTTGTAGACAGGTTGATCAACCTGGTATGATTGGTAAGGTAGGAAGTATTTTGGGTGAGGAGAATGTGAACGTGAGCTTCATGAGTGTTGGGAGGATTGCTCCAAGGAAGCAAGCAGTGATGGCCATAGGAGTAGATGAGCAACCCAGAAAAGAATCTTTAAAGAGGATTGGCGACGTCCCTGCCATTGAAGAGTTTGTTTTCCTTAAGTTGTAGGGTGGCCATATCTTTTTCTCCATTGGGTTGGGTGGGCATTTTTACTACATTGTAGTGCTCAATTTTGAATCATCGAGTGTGTTCTACCGTAGCTTTAGGACGAGGGGAAAGAAGGAATAATTGAGCTTTGCAACAACTAGTCTGTTTATTATTGAGTTAATTTTTTTTTATTCAGATTTGTATCGGATTTCGTTCATGTGGATTGCTTTGCATGGTAATTGTCAAGCTTTATTTAAAACACCAATGTACAACTCCTTTTCCCTTGGAACAGCTTAAGGTGCTCAGGCACAAGTGTTAGCTGCGTTAAGGATGCCGACTCAAGTCAATTGGAAAGCGCCCAAAACCTTAAACAAAATGGTTGGTTTTTATCGCAATCAATGAGGCATTGGCCCTTATTATTCTCATGCTCGTCTTAACCTAGTGATTACCAAAAAATTTTTTTAAAGGGAAATGGTAAACAATTCGACAAAAGTTAGTAGTCCGAATGTGTTCGAACTAATATTCTTTGCTTCTCATGTCATTATTTTTATCATTTCACCTTCCAACTTGTTTTTCGAACTAAACAACATTATGCAATATACGTTTACTTTTCATGTGCATGACACTTTTGAGTCTATGACTTAATTCATGTTCTTTACATCTCTTATAAGAATGATCATAACGTTTGCGGACATGAGATTTCTCTGAACTATCCGAACCTTTTCCTCCATTAATATTTCTTGAATTCTAAATACTGATACTTTTACGGGAGATGTCTTCACTAAATCGATCAAAATGGCAATGTATGGTTAAATTCAAGCTGTAGCATTGGAACTTGAGCTAAGGTTGAGGGTAAAGAGATGTGAAGGTTATTAACCGCTAAATAGGTAGCAATTCCAGCAGCATAACCTGCGAAAGTAAAACCGCACACCTGCACCAAAAGAAATCTTCTACTAAATAAAATTGGTGTTTAATTTTTCTTTCTGAAAAGATATGCAACTAAAATGCAGGAATTACCTTCCGCAAGTACCAAAAGAAGTCCACCTTTTCCATTCCCATGTATGCAACTCCCGCTGCAGACCCAATAACTAGCATGGATCCACCAGTACCAGCACAATATGCAACTAGTTGCCAAAACTCAGAATCCTGGGGAAATGAACTGAGATCATACATTCCCATTGTTGCTGCAACCAGTGGAACACTATCAATAATTGCTGACATAACTCCTATTGCACTTGCAGTCAGTTCCACATTAGGAATATGAGCATCGAGATAATTCGCCAACTCCCGAAGAAGACCTGCTGCTTCTAGGCTGGAGAAGTACAACTCAGATATATCAAATAGAGAGATAAAATCCACAACTTAATTATATAAATGAAGTAATGATATATATATATATATATATATGAAATGAAGCTTCAACTTTTAAGTTGTTGAATGGATGCGTAATGTAAATTACCGTTAAAAAGATACAAAAGACATAAATTAGCACTGTCTGAACCACTGCTTTTACATAGAATGTAAAAGGCAAACCAATTATGTTACCTCAAAATGGGGCAAAAAAAAAAAAAAAAAAAACTAGAGATGATGCTAGTTAAGCAATTTTACATATAATTGGATGTGGCATCTAATCAGATAAAAAGAGGCCAAAAACAATATTGCATCAAGCATGGGTGGGGGTTTGAACAGAGAAGACTTCCAGCTAGATAAAACTTAATAATAAACTTGAACTATGGTTAAAAAAATTAATAAAGACAAGAAACAGGAACAAATTAGACATTGATACTTTCATCTTGTATTTACCTGCTCACAGACAATAGGATTCCAAGGAAGAAAAGAGCTCCTTGAGTATCAATCCTTGATAAAGCTTGTGGAACTTTTAATTTTTGCCTTTCCGATTCACCATAATGAATAGCATCAGTCAGAATCCAAAGAACTCCAAGTCCAAGCAACATGCCCATAAAAGGAGGCAAACCAGTTAAGGCCTTGAATACTGGAACAAAAATCAAAGCACCAATACCAACAGAGGAAACAAGTTGCCCTCTGGGAGCCATTTGTTCAGATGCCAAATCATTGGGAGAATCTTGTTCCTCCCCATTAACTTCGCTGAATGAGAAAAGAGAACTCACATCATTTCATCTGTGATTCATGAAATTAAAAGTAACTCTTTAAAACTGAGCTTTCGCAGCTTGTCTTTGCTCATGCAAGAGACATTACCTAGTCAAAGACATAAGAGCCAGCGGAACAGCTAGAGAAACAATTGAAGGTATGAACAATCCCTGTTAGTAATGAAATCAAACTTAATTAACTCCACCTAAAGTCAGTAAAAAGAAAAAAATTCTTCTACGGTGAATTCATATAAATAGAGTATGTGGCTTGCACATTTTATTCCAACTTCACATTGCTATTGCTTCCAATAGTTCAGTGTTTGGTTCAAATTTAACAGAATTATTATCTTTGTCTACTAATCCAAGTCTAAATCAGGAAACATATAGCGATTTAGCATGCAGACTTAAATCCACAATGAATAGATATTCGGATCGAATTTAAAAGCATAAAAGAAAGTAAATTTAATGTAGATGCTCTTTGTTACAACTATGAAAGCACCTTCATAGTCTGCAATGTGGATATTTGACCATGTATCCATAGCATGGTAGTGGTAACATCACCAATAGGACTCCAAGCACCACCAGCATTTGCCGCTATCACAACAACAGCTCCTAGAATCCTATTGCAATTCATATTCATATAAACAGTTTTAAGAAATTTGAATGAACAGGATACAAGTCATTCTCAGTAAACGAGCATGGTATGTTTAACTCCAAATAATATGATAATCACCTGTGCAGTTCCAGATAAACAAACGATTGTAATGTACTAGTATACCATGTGAACCGAGGAACTCTTAGAAAAATAAGATACTAATATCATGCAATGCTCAGAAATCCAAACAGAAGAGTTGACTCTATTGCATAACATACTTGCGGTATTCCGATGGAGGTACTAGTTTCCTCAACAAAGAAACCATGACTATGGTAGATGTCAGATTGTCAAGGATGGAACTAAGGAAAAATGTCACGAAACTAACCTGCATTTTTCAAATTATGGGTGAAACACAATTATTTGATTAAACATATCAAGAAGTTACAACTGATAAAGCAATCAAAAACTTTGATAAAAATAGAAATAAAGTTGATCTCTAATATTCAAAACAGGAGAAAGCATCATTTGAAAGACAGACAACGAACACAAATTTTCATCATGAGACTTTACACTCAAATTTTCTTATTAGGCTCATTCTAGGTAAAAGACTAAATATGATAGGGTCATATGCATTTGGCTGGATGATAACTTCGGCCCACACACATAAGTAAGCAGATTTAAGATTCTTTTGAATATATCTTATTAATTGGAATCATCTACATCATTGGTTTGTACCTACCAAACAAATTTCCTGTCAGTGGGTAAATATTGGGCCACAGGGGTATGCTTCACTGTGCCATTAAACTTTCAATAATATTCATGTATGAACTATGAATGATAAGATTGTCAATATGACCATACCCAGCAGAAATCAACTCACCGTACAAAGCAAAGTCCGTGACTTTCGAGTGGTTATATTGTCAGTAACCAGCTTAAATCCTTGATGGGCATCAACTATCTCTACAATGATCATTGCACCAAGCAAGAAAAACACTATTTCACTGACTTCAGCAGATGCATGTGTCAACTCTGAAACAGCTATATCAGTTGAAGGAGCCTAGAAATGAAAATCAAATGTGAATGGCCCAAGCATTATTACACAAGGAATGACAGATAAAGGTGAAAATAAGTAAGAAAGTGATAAAAAAATTTTTCAATACGAATATCAGATGCATCAGCATAAGTAGACTACCATAGATTTCCAAAGGTGAAGGGAGATATTCGTAGTCATCATTTGCAGAATCTCTATAGCAAGTGACAAGACACGCAAACACATACTTTGGCTCTCCCAATTGACCATTGGGATAGATACATAGTTTTGCTATCTTAATTCATTACTAGGTTAGTTCCTTGGAATTGGTTTAAATTGGAGATGCTCATCCAAACCAGTGCTTCAGGAAATAATAAATTCTGTATTTCATTTACTCTTGAATCTTCATACTGTCAGGGTCATAAGGCCACCACCAAAGAACATGAGAGAAACAGGTTGAAACCTGAGACAGTGCTTGAATGGAGTATCCAATAAACAATAGAATTGTGTGTTTTTATCGTAATTTATGAGAATGCTAATAGAAAGTAGTTCCTCATGCAAACTACAAGAAGAAGGACCGCAGAAAAACACAGTCCAATATTAGGCATCTGAAAATGATTCTTACCCCAATGCTTCGTACTATCCATAAACTTACAGCCATCAACAATCCTACTCCACTTTTATTGATGGCTAGAGACTCCGCAAAGATAATGCCTGCATATCCTATTGCAAAAAGCAATGCCATAGCAATATCCTGCATTACGAAATTAGATAAAATCAAGAAAGGCTTCTGTGTACAATCCAATAATATGAGAGACATTGGTCAAAGACAGGAAAACAATGAAAATCTACATTGAAAGGATTACACAAGAAATTAAAGATTAACCAGGTTGTCAGTAACCCATGAGAGGTTAATTGCCATAGTCCCTGTTAAAGCTGCTGTGAAAACAGCAATAGTTTTCAACAAATCAGTCTTTGGCTTGTAAGTAGCTTCAAAATCTAGGGAGCTAGTTCCATCAACTGAGCATAAAGGATCACACGATCCAGAAGGTGAGGTCAGCTCCTATTGATATGCAAAGGTCAATTCATCGTGTGACAGAACCCACAAAAAAAAGATGAAGAAGGAACAGACAATGCTGTTTTGCAGTGATGATTTGTTTTTTTAGCAATTAGGAGAATGCTTTCTAAACTTCCTTTTTGAGCAATCTTCCCTCATAAAGGGGATCATTATCTAGCCTCAATCCCGCCAATGAAATTATAGATTTTAATGAAAAGAGAGAGAGTGAAGAGAAAATTGGAATATTGTGAATTGTATTCAGAACGTCGCTATCAACCGCAGTCTTCCACTAAAATAGTCATACCGACCATGACATCAACAACCTTAATTAATCCCATTCATAAATAATCATTACACAATCATTATTTAATTACAATTTAAAATAACAATTCTTTCGCCTTTGTTATGCCCTTCGTGGCAGTCAAGGAGGCAACGGTATCTCTAATCTCTACATATATATATATATATATATATATATATATAAAGGTGCAATTGTTACATATAACAACAAATTGAATTAAAAAAGAGTTTGAACTCACAGACATAAAAAGGTGAAATTATTACAATTACATATCTTCGTGTCGAACTCACAGGCATATTAAATTTATCAAATATTATTTTAAAATTTTGGCTTTTTAAAAAAAATTATATTTCAATGTCATTTTTCATGAAAATTTTCATTGAATCAAGTAAGTCTTAAGATTATATTTGATACATAAAATTATTGATCAAATAAAAAGATAATCATCTTATATATTATGCTTGATTTTATTTAAAGAGAATGATAAAAATTATAAGAAGGATCAATATTTTCTTGATATAAGATTATTCAATTTTTTTTACTTGAAGAAGATTATTTTTAATTAAAAAAATTAAATTTATATATTCAATTATACTCTTAAAAATTATATTAATAATTTAAATTATATAAATTTTAATAAATAAATAAAATATTTTATCTTAATTTTTATATATATCAAATATAAAATAAAATTATTTTATTTTATTTTATTTATAATATTATTTTGTCTTTATCTTATCTATCATTATCTAAATATATTAATCATTATCAATAGGATTGAGAGGGTATACGTTTCACAATTCACAACCCATCAACACGTGCCTCTAGATTTTTATTTTAAAATAATTCTATTTTAATCGCAGTTCCCGTAAAAATTTTAGTTGGACCAAATAGACCCTATCATTATTAATAGGAAGGGTGTCACAATCTAGATTTTGATTTTGTCGAGGATTATATGATTCTCGATGTTTATTTAGGTCAGTTGGATATTAATTTAAATGTTAAGCACACTGATTTAAATTTTTAAAATTATAGATTTTAATGAATTAAAATATTTAATATTTTTTAAAATTAATTATACAAATTCATAAATAAATTTTAGCATTTCTTTTATACGATGCATATTTAAAATCTTGATTTCGAAATGCTTTTAGGTACTGTAACAAAAATAAATCATATTTATTTTAATTAGATGATTAATTAACAAGAAAAACGAATAAGATGTTGGTTATATAGTATTGGTTTTTTTGTTTTTGGCCTGAAAATGAATAAAAGTCGGTGATTAATTAAAAAATTATGCAGGCAGCTTCCGATTATTTAAGCCATAAGATTTCGGTTACAGCAACCTAAGTACCTAACAAATAACATTAAAGAAATGAAAGAAACAAGCTGTTTTGTTTTAAACAACTACGTTTAGTGATCTTTTTTTTTTTTTTTTTTTGGAATCATATGTCATGGGTCACGAGTTTAGATCTAATTATCATGCGATTTTAGACAAAAAAAAAAAAAACTATCATCTGTATGCGATCCGTGACATATGCATCTCCATTCCCCAGTTTTTATATTCCATATCTCCAATTTTTTTCTTAGTTAATTAAGACTTAAAGAGCAATTAATCAAACAAAACATCCAAGTTTTATTAAAAACTACATGCATGTTCGTACTTTGTCACGGGTATATAAAGAATATAAAGATCAAATGATATCAATAATATTACGCTTCATTTGATAAAAAAAATTATTTATAAATTTAAAAATATCAAAAAATACAAAATTATGAGATAAAAAATCATAACCTTTAAATTAGTTTATTCTATGCATGTCTTTTTTCTCTTCATGTTACTGTTTAAAGAAAAAAGAGCTTGAGAATGAAGTTATGAATGTAATGGGTTTTGATTTAATGATGAAAAGAAATAATGACAGAAAAATAATATGGAAAAGAGAAAAAGAAAAATAGCATAGATGTGTCAAAACCTTTCTTCTTACTCACCCCCATCAAACAAATATTACGTTTTTTATATCAAAAATGTGTTTTTTTTTTTTTAATTTCAAAAATTATATTTGAAAGTAAAAATGTGGTATTTGTTAGTTTTTTTCAACCACTTTTTTTTATATTAAAAATGTAATTAAAATAATTTTGTATATTTAACTTTTTTTATTCATCATCAACCAAGTTTTAAAATAAAAAAATAATTTTTGATAAAATATCAATCACATTTTCAAACTAATAAATATAAACTATTGAGTAATTCAATGGATTTATGAATCGTTTAAACGTTACATTTTTCATATCAGAAACCTTTTACATATTCTTTTCTTTTTGATAAAAAGTTGAAATAAAAAAGTGACATTTAATAAGAAATGTAAAAAGTTGAAATAAAATATAATAAAAACTATTTTTAAAAAAAGTGTGAAGTCTTTTGCTCACCAAGTAAAAATAAAAAATAAAAAAACAATGCAATGGGTGATGTAAATAGGCTGAAAGCTTAACAATTTTTTCAAAATTAATAATATGGATTTTGCATTAGATTTCGTATAATGGTATAAGCCATTGTAGAAAAACAAAAACATAATGGCTACAAAGTTATATGAGAGTTTAAACAAACAATCAACCAGTGCATGTTAAGTTTCACACATCTAATTTCTATTGATCAAAACATAGAATAAACCTAGAAGCAATAATCACTAGGGTTCAAATGATTGTCTATCACAAATTTTCTCCAACCATTTAAAAAAGCTTTGTTTTTCTTTAAATACCTGAATCGAACAAGTCGGCCTATGCAATTTCATGGAACCATCAAGACAACATCGACATCATGTTGTGGAAGGTATTCTTTGTAGAAGGCAACAGAGATACGCTGTATTTTTTAAAATAGTTGAAAAAAACAAAGATTAACAATAATTAATACATGACTCATTAAAAAATTTAAATTATTTAAATGCAGTAAAAGCTATATGAAAGCAGGTTATATATGTTGTATTACCAAGATACAGGATGTTTGAACATTTGTTTTTGTCATGGTAACTTCAAATGTTGTATAGTCAAAATCATGGATCTTACTATCAGTTTCACCTTCTTCATCAATGTCAATTTTATCATGCTAGTCTGACTCAGAGGTAGTATCATCAAGATAAATAACTTTAGTGAGCTTTTTTTTTGCACTAATTAACTGGTCACGCTTTTCTTTTTTGATCTGAAGAACTTTGTTGAGTTGCTTGATTTTTTTCAACTATAAAGATAAAAAAAATAGAATTTGAAGAAAACATTATAAGATAATCACATTGTTTATACATGAAAGATATTTGAAATCAAGATACTACCTAATCTTGCTCAAAGGATGTCTCAAGTGATAAAATCACTCGTTCCAGCATATAGAAAGGTATGAAAAAATGTACAATCATTCCATTTTAAGGTAAGTGCATCACTGGATCGTAGGCAGTGTGCATCAACAAAAGTTTTTCAACCATTTTTAAAGCATAGTTGACCATTAATCTTAACTAAACACAATTTGAATATGATAGGGTTTTAGCATTGGAGTTTTAACATAGTTGACCATCATAAGAAGTATGGTCACTGGAGTTTTAACATATTATAAATGTGTTTATATAATTGATCGGAAGTCTCTGCAACCATAATGTTAATTTGAAACAATCTGTTAACATAAAATTTGAATAGAGATATGCATGCATTACTAATTAAAATTAACTTGTGTTTTTACATTGATTATGACAGAAAAACAAATCAATACATTGTGGTTTGTTACACTTATACATTGTGGTTTGTTACACTTTGTTTTGGATGTATTTATTGATATAAATATGTAAACCATAAATATAAAACATGGAAAGAAAGTTGTTAATTTATTTAACAAGCACCAACAAACTTAGAATATAGAGAATTAAACTGCATGACATTAAGATTACAAAGGACAGAATAGAAAATAATAAATAATTAATTAAAATTTTATATTGATAACAAATAATATAATATATATATATATATGCGCATATAATGAAGTAAGAATTTGATAGACTTTTTGTTTAATGACATTCTATGTAAATGAGATAAAAAAAATTTATTTATATCTTATAATAGGTGTTGAATTAGCAAATATATATATATATATTTCACGAAAGTAATCAACATAGAAAAAAAATTTTGTTATTCCCAAAACCCAAAAAACTTTTTTGCAATGAGGAAACATTCGTTTAAAATATAATTATAATTAATACAATAATTCAACCAAAGGAGACAATATGTAAAGCAAAATCATAACAAATAATGGCAATAATAGTACAGATCAGAGCATTCAATGAAAATCTCCAATGATATAGAGTATAAATTGAAAAGTAAGATAAAATGTGTGCTTTCATTGATTTTTGTGATCTAAAATGATAAGAAAAAGTAGAAAAAAAAAGGAAATTGTTCTATAACAATTTACTTACCATGAAATTTTCAAAGACATCTTCTTGATCCAAAACCTTGAAATTTTGTAGAACATGGTAAATATAAGCAAGTTTTTCCAATGGTTCATCTTTCGAGTTGATCATTTTCAGCAGACTTAGTACACCATAGCTTTCGGTTTTTCAAAGAACCTTAAAGATTGGCTTCTAGGGTTTATACTATTTGAGAGAAAAAGTTTAAGTCAAGTTTTAAGAGTATGAATCGAATTCTAAGGGGTTAAAATGTGAAAAAGGAACTCTTT